GTACAAAGGGCTCCCACGCAATATTAGTTCTGGTTCCGATACGTTGCGAGCTGTAAAGTACCGCACCCGCGGGACAGAGTCATCTGCACACCTGCGGGAGTGCTGGACGTTGCATTCGCCGTGCAGCGGTGGTACCGCTTCGCGAAAAGGGTTCGGCGACGGGCGCTGCCCTTGTGTCGTCCTTGAACTCGGCATGCGCGCACGTGCTGACCTGGACGCACGTGGCGAAAGCGGACTACCCGCCAAACGAACTGTTACGCGAGCCGGAACACGGAGGGAGGGATGTTGCACATTGCGATATGATGACGTTATCTCCCTTCTCTCGAGATGGGGGTGCAGCGAAACGCATTCATAGCTCCGATACTCTACTCCCATCCGAGCGGTACGTTTCTCTTTCATTCCTGACTATGCAAAGTGAACGTGGGCAGTTCGTTGTACGGATTTTCATGAACATTATTACCTTTCTAAGGCTTTTATTCGACGTTGATGAAAAGTTCTTATGCATAACGACATAAAGTTCTTATTAAGTGCGTAAAAGGAAATCTCCAGGAACGCTTCCCTTACAAGTATAAGATATGCTGCAGTGACAAAATTAGATACATTTGAATGCCAATGATGAAAAATTAAACTTTTTTCTTATTATTGTAATAATTAAGATGAAATATACCTATATGGTCTTATTTTATTTTTGATAAATATTTTTGAAATACATATTTGTACAATCTAGTTTTTTTCTTTATATGCAATCTGTATATTCTTATTTTGTTTTCTTATGATTTGACTTTGTCATATAATATTTTATGACAAAGCGAAAAAAGAATTATGTGCTTAGAGGCTTTTGAATGTGATTTATACAAAACAACTATCTTCATAACATATTATATACAATGGAGCATTTGATATATATATATATATATATATATATATATATATATAGTTTTATAAACATATTTATCACCATCCGAAAAAAATATCACAGATACACACACACACACACATATATATATATATATATATATATATATATATATATGTGTGTGTGTGTGTGTGATATATATAACATGCTTAGGTAGGATTTAATATAGAAATTATTATATCTAGAACTTAAGAGTGAAATGCGAAATTGAATTTTTACGCGAGAAATACAAAAGCTTATTCAAGTTTTTATCTAATATTGTAGACTTTTACCTATCTGCACCTTACGTTAGTAATTAAATTTATTTTGCCATCAGTTCTTAGTGCCATTTTTTATTTCACTTTCGTTTGCAGAATATTTTTAAATCTCCTATTAAATTATCATATTCTCAACCGAGAACGTAAGACACACGATCTCATTATGCACAATGTGCGATGTTGTAGTTACAAACTCTCGCGTGGGCGAATAAGACAAAATTCTGTGTATTTGTCTTTCACGTGACTTACAAGTAAGAACGTCTCGGGCTCGATCTCGTTCACTCCCGTGGGTCGAATAGCGCGGCCCGCGCGATATGGTAGCGATCAACAAGCGGACAGGCTTCACAACAACTCCATTTGGACCGGAGCCAACACATTCCGAGTCAGCTTCCGTCATTGCCGCCTGTCCTGGACAAAATTTCCGAGGCAGCACCTATAATTCTAAAGTTGGCATCTTGATACTTATGTTTCCTTATTAAAGTTAATACCTTCTGGAGATTTAGTATATCTTAGAAATGCAGATGATGATACAAGATTAGAGCTAAATTGTTCTCGCATATTTTTCGGGTTTTCTTTTACAATTCTGAATTCTTTTTCCTCTTTTTATAGCATAGACCACATCTATAGTAGTGTACATTCAAACAATCTGTTACTAGTAATTATAATTATTCACACCACTTTCTGTTAACGACACTAGGTCTATTAGAATTTGGGTGAATATTTTTTGCAATCGAAATGACGTTTGAATATATAAAATCATACAATGTTATGAAGATATTATTAAACTGCTTTTATTTCTTCTCAAATATATGCATATATTTAACATTTAAAATTCATTAAGCGCCTGTACGTTTTCCACACGGTGGGTAGTTGACCAAGTACAATAATTTATTATTAAACACTTCATTCATAATGTTACCTCGCTCATGATTATATATAGTATACTGAATATATATCAGGGTTTGATTATATGGTTAAACTATAAACGAACACATACGTAAGCCTGTGGAAAGTGTCACACACGTAAACAACTTAACCTCACAACTGAATAATCTGAATAATCCGGTGGAGCGATCTTGTAGAAATCGATAAGAATTGAGCTTTCATTCACTCGTATATATTTACTATCCTTGTTCATCCATAAACCATAACTCAAAATTAACTAATCATATTTTTATCTTGAATAATATATTCTGCTATATTGTTCTATTTTTACTTTTATTAGAATTTAATGATATTTTAAAACGTTTAATTTAAACTGTAAATTACTATTAGTTTTGTTAGAACTAGTATCAAAATGTATAAATATGCTATAACGAAAGTATTTTCCTTGATTATTAACATTTAGATCTCTGTTTTTATCAATAATTTTCTATTACATAAAAATGTCTAGTTTTTTTTCAGATTATTAGTTTCTAATAAAACCCATGAATTTTGTTGACATAGCTCTACGGAATAATTTATGGTATTCAAGAACTAAAGTCTTCTACTAAAAAAATTAAATTCAGGCAAAACTATTACAAAGACATCACTGTGCTAATAAATGACGCTAGCTCCCAATGCACCAATAGAGAAAGGTAAAAGGATAGAGGATTATACACACCAGCACACATACGTCAACGAACGTTATATTTTGGCATGCATGCTTGCACAAATTTTCCGAATCGTTTTAGGAGTAAAGAGATGTCAGGTTGAGGATTTAGCGATGGTACGGCATCGCATGTCGCTAGTCAGTGTTTGCTTGCAATGCGCCCCCAATTTCTACAGACACGCATGGATCCAAATAACCAACGACCCGTGACAGCGCTACTTTCATTTCGATCTTCAGCTCTATGAAATCTGATTTCTTTTTGTAATGCAAAATTGTACCATATCATAGAAAATGACACTCGAGGAGAAAATATATTACGCAAAGCAAGAATTCGCGAAATAACGTGTAAATTGAAATAAGCGTTTATTATAAAAAATATGTGATTGAATCTCTCGAATCTATGTATATATATATATATATATATATATATATATATAACTTATTTATTAAGCCATATATAATATGATACATTATTATTAATTCATTCATCTTTTATTCGCTACCGATGTTAATTCATCTAACAGCAAAATATTATTAGTTCTTGTCCGTTATACAAATCGCATTGCTTCTATTTATAGAATATAAACCTTTAAGTTTATAAAATATAAACCTTTCTACTCGTAGCATAATTTCTGTAAGTCGGTCAAAGCATAAATAAGTGTGTAAAGCAGTTATATATATATGTATATATATATATATATATATATATATATTTCTTCAATAAAACTTAAAACATTGTCACAGAAGATGGCTTAAAAATTTATTTCTAGCCGTCACATATCATCAGTATATCCATAATTCAACGTGTTAATTTAGTAATGACAAGGGCGACCGGTAATTCTCAATGCGGCCGTTGGGTATCAAATATTCAATATTATTGCGTGTCCAAACGTCAGTCGAGGCGACCTGACCTGCGTGGCCGACAAACAGCTGAGATTGCAGTCGACAATTGAAAATCCTTTCTTTCCGGACTGAAAAAAGACTATTGGAAGTTTCATTACACGAGTGACCTATTTGTCAGAATGTGAAATGACTCATTCTTACCCTTATGTGATAAATAAAATGGAAATAAATATTTAAAAAAATTGCAACTTTTGATTTTTTGCAGTTCTCTATAATATTACGAGAAATACGGTGGAGCGTTCTTGTACTTTCACTGCTACGTTTTTGATTTACGTACTTTATTTTTAACTTCAAAAAATATAAATAAGATATTCAAGGTCTTTGAAAACATAATGTTATTGCATAGATAACTTATTTTTCCATAGCAAGTCGTATTTTCGCATTTAGACACTTTAATTTTCTACATTATGTGCTTATGAGAAGTGAAACGACTACGTTTTGCGTATTTCAAGTTAACGGGTTCTCATCACGCATATTCAATTCGTCTTTCTTGTCGGTTTATAAAGTACTTTGCAAATTGATATTTTACTTTATATCACAGTAGAACTTTTCGATTATACAAGAAAATATACAATGTATTTGTATGACTTCCATTATTAAAAATATCATGATGTATCGTAGCTTCCCACATCCATGACAATGTTGATGAAAATATAAAGTCATATGTGGAATTTGTGAAGGGATTTTTCTTATTTGTTATATTGAATAGATGTAAATGGCCATTTAGGTGCATACAAATTAATATCATAATAGACTTATTTCAGTATCTCATTTCTTTAGTTTTTCTGGAAATGTGATTTTGAAATTCAGTAAATATACAATATATATAATAAAATTTAAAACGGATTCAATTGTTTGTGTTTATTTAATTACAAACATCAGGTTTTTCCTAAATTATTCCAAACATAGGCGTTGTTTTACGATGCTTACATTTGCAACACGCCTGTTTTATTAGGCTATAATGCAACGCAGTGCTTGTCCTTGCTCCACAATGTTTCTTTGTTTTGCGCCTTATTCCAAATTGCACAATGTACATGCGTTATAATTAAAATTAAAATAAGTTAATTATACCGCAGTAAATTTCGTTTTTAGAGTGCAAATTTTAAGTCCATGATAAGGTAATTGTGAGTCAATAAACAATAGATTTTGTGATGAATATTCCATTCGACATGAGTTATTTCAGCAAAAATTATTTGCATATGCGATCGATGATACTTATTAATTCCAAATATGAAATGTATTTTTGAATGTACTAGGGCCAACATTTCTATTTTATAGTAATTGACATATGTAGTTAAAATTATTAATTTGCAAATGTTTGTTTTTATTGCAGATCAGAATCGCCAGTGTCGGTTTCGCATCACGCGTAGTGCCTAGCCTCCAGCGGGAGACACGCGCAACAGCCGGCAAGCGACACGCGGTCCGCAAGCCGGAGAATTTCCGTCGGAACCATACCATAGAATACCGTCAAGATTGCTGCCATGGGTCGCAAGAAAATACAAATCTCGCGTATCACAGATGAACGGAACCGACAGGTCAGTAAATTGATGGTAATCAATCGATCAAATGGTAATAGATCGATTCAACCGGGATCGAGCTTGTTAGGTCCGATTTATTAATTTGTTATTTCACTACAAGAGCTCTTACCCTGCTGAGTCACATGTACAAAAGTTGAAAAAAATTAAATGTTTTAATATATATGTCTATTATTAGATTTCGAATGTAGTTCATTATACAAATAATTTATCTTTTTGCGATATTTGTTATACTGATATTGTTACCCTTTGATATTTTAGCTAAAATATTTTTTTAAGTTAATACATTGATTACCTTCAATGTTTTATAATATATATATATATATATATATTTATATATGTGTGTGTGTTTCCAATTGAAAATTAGCCCATCTCGGGCACTGCGGTGTGAAATGAAAAAGGGAAAAACTCTTACACTACTTCTGAACCCATTATATATATATATATATATATATATATATATATATAATGTAATAAGTATATATATGTATATATATATATATATTTATAAATATATATATATATATATATATATTTATAAATATATGTATATATACATATATATTTATATGTATATATGTGTGTGTATGTATATTTCATGATGCCGTGTAAGAAGTATAAAAAATTTAAGTAAAATGTAATCAAAGTATACGTTTAAGAATACTAGTTATAAGAACGTAGTTCAAATAAAAAAGCATAAAATTGATACTTGAATTCAATTTATCAATTTCAAAAACATATATTTCGATAAATATGTATATATGTACATAACATTTTGGATCATTGTTTGGACATTTATCCGAAGGTATAGTATCCATCTTATTTGTTTTTTGAAAACAATAAAAAGTATTTAGAATATAAAAATTATGTCATAATTGTGACAAAAAAAGAGAAAGAAAGATTTACCAAAAAAAATCACACGTAGTTCAACTTCCCAGTAATCATATTTTTTTTTAATTATATAGGCTTTGATATACTCGTACATATAAACAAATAGTAATTTGCGAATAAATTTTTTAATTGAAATTTTACAAAAATATTATTTTCGTGAAAAGCTGATGAATCCGTCTAACTAATGCACAGTTGTAAATTACTTAATGACTACTCTGCCAATTTTCTTTATAAATTAAGGTATATTATAACTAAAAGTTGAGATTCTGAACTTGTAAGACAGCATCTAGCCAATACTTCACAATCAGTATAAAATTGCGCAATTATCTATTTGTGTTTTTCTCTATAATAATATTTTTATGTAGTTAAGAAAATATAGGAGAATCCTTCTAATTAAGAACAGTAATGTGTATTCTTTTATTTAATTAAATAATAATTGAACAAGTCAAGTCACGTGTAAAGTAAATTCTCGTCCTAACGACTCATATATATGAGGGAAAAACGATAACGATGCTCTATTGCAAGTATTAAACGATAATAAAGTTGAAGGAAAAATACAATTCGATAAAAAATTCTATGTGTTATGAGTAGTTTTCCTGAATACACTGTGGTTTCATTCATTATTTATGTATTATCACAGTTACATGCACGTTTATAAAGAAACATCCTTTTGAATTACGGCAATTTACGTGATTTTGATTTAGGTGTGAATAATTAATTTGTTTGTATTGCATACTCGTGATAATAGGAACGACTAAAATTTAAAATCGGATATTATTATTATAGTATTATTTATGTGAATTTCTTTGCGTATTGCATATATTATGCTTATTTACTTTTCTGGGGTTAATTTTCAAAAAATTGACATGTGATCTCAAAACCTTACTTACAGCTTGGCTAATTTTTTCCTAAGTGAATAATATGAGATGATTAAATTGGTAAAAATAAGGATTGAAAATTAAAATAAATTGATTACGGTAAAAATAGGTTTTAATAAATTATCTATAAGGCAGAGCGGGGCTTAAAGGTCTGCGGGTAAAAAGGTCCACCTCTATTCGAATGATAAGTTCAAACCATGGTCTATTATTCATGTTTTTTTTTTTAAAAAAAAACATTGTACTATATTTGAATATTATTTCGTAAAATCTCTTTGAAAATAAAATAAGACATTGGATTTGATTGCTATCCTGTTCCTAAAAAAAAAACATTTCTATAATTTTTAAAAAAATATTTCTATAATGGTGAATCATCTGGGAGTTTTACTGAACATAGTCAAAGAGTTGTTTGTTTGATATGTGGTATTTGTTGTGATGATTGGTTTGGTTTTCACACTCATTGGACCTTTGTATCCCGCTCTACGCTATTGAAAATCTTTGATTTTAGAATACTGCTGATTTGAAAAATACTTTTGATTATTGTCGATCATAATATCATTTATATACTAATATTTTTAAGAACTTAAATTAAATTTGAAATGAAGTATTAAGTATCAAATGGACACATTTTGAAAGAAAGTAGTAACAGTAGTTTTGAATAACTACAAAATTTTAGTTAGAACGCCACGAAACAATTTAGAGAGATCAGTTTTAGATTTCTTGATTATTTGATGTAGACTTCGAACCGATTAATTTCTTCGTCTAATATTTGTTCGTAAATCAGGAATTTGTCCTGCAACAAGATGTCATACACCTAGTGGTGTTGTGCTAATTTTTTGTACCGGAATGCGTACTTACCGAAATCGTTTCAAAAACCGGTTCACGTATTTGTTTCGGTTCGGTTCGAATTCTAGTTCAGTAGGAAAAAAACGTTCCGGGTTTACAGTTCGGAAAAACAAGTTGGTTCGTTTCGGTTCGGGTTCGGTTCAAAACCTTGTTCATAATAATACATATAAAAATTCGTCCAAAATAAGAAAAAAAATCCGCAATTCTTTTTTTTTAATACGTCAGCCAATTCTTGTTATCAGAAATTATCTTTAGTTCCAAAACGCGTTCCTGTTCAAAATGAGAGTACTGGAACGACGTTCCGGAGCGTTTTGGCGCGACATTAACACTGCATACACCACTAGTTTAATAAATAACGAAATTTAATTAACGAACAATCGTCTATTACCGTTGCAGGTTACGTTCAACAAGCGCAAGTTCGGCGTCATGAAGAAAGCGTACGAGCTGAGCGTGTTGTGCGACTGCGAGATCGCCCTCATAATCTTCAGTTCGAGCAACAAATTGTACCAGTATGCTAGCACTGACATGGACAAAGTGCTTCTCAAATATACCGAATACAACGAGCCCCACGAATCATTGACGAACAAAAACATCATAGAGGTACAACATGTACGGCGGCATCTGTGTGCGTTACTCGAATGGCGAATGGCAGTACTGTTGTATTAAAACAAAAAATATATTACCATGGCGTATCGATGTATCCAAATACTTGAGATACATTGATAACATATTGCGGATGTTTTGTTTACCGCGCTTTTCTTTTTGTTTGCATGGTTTATTACGAGAGAGCGCTGGGAGACGATCCCTTTACTGGATTATATAATTTTCATCATTTCCAACGTGAAGACCATTTCATTACTTTGTTTTTGAAGAATATTTTGTCTTTCTGAAACAATAAAATGAGTTGACAACGTTTGTTGAACATTCATACAAATTTTCATTTTCATTAGCCAGCATTACTGATAAAAACAATCTGTCGGACATAAATAAAATAAAAAATATTTTTGGACGGTCCAATAATCACGTGTGGCTCAAAGGGGGGGGGGAGGAAATGTTTTGATAAAAAATCACGAAACATCTAGTAAGATATTCTAGTATTATACGTGTATTTATACATTTACCTGAATTTAAAAAAAATAAATACTTGATTCTTTTCTAAATTTAACGTTTTTGTAGGTACTAAAAATAAACGAGATGTTACTGGGAGCGGAGGGGTGTTTTTAAATATCACCACTTATAACCAAGGGGGGGGGGTGTTCAAAGTTCTTTAAAAATCGATTACATGATTAATGGACGCCCCCCTTACGACGAAATGGGCTTGCAACAGAACTTTTCGGAAGCACAAATATTTGCCCTTTGTCCAATTGTCCAAAAAGATGTGCTCAATTTTAAGCAATGAGATTGCGTAAATAACGAGAACGGGTTAAATTGTAGGGGTCTATTTTTTCTAATTTATGCGGATTCTGACAATGAAAAAATATTAATTTCACTTATCTATTTCTAATTTTGCATCATCTAATAAATCTGTACCACAAAAGCATTTCAAAATTCGGAAAACCATATTATGTAATAAATTGTCTCTTAGCGCTTCTTCCAACATTTTCAAATTTGTCGACTTTTTTATTTGTTTTTTTTTTTAAATGTTGCTAGTTGAAAACTTGTTTTTTTAAAAACAAATATTTTACAGTTGTACTCAAATTTTTATTTGTTATATAAATATATTAATACTAGATTAAATTAATCATAACAAATAAGTTTTATTTCAGAATAATTTATTATAACATCCGCAATAAGGTTTAGATTTAATTTAATATAACATTGCAAGCATTGATATAACATTAACAATAGTAACATTGTTGTTTTATTAGTTTTTTTGTATTTTATACTAACATGTGTTGATATTTTAAATCCAAACTTTTGTTATAAATTGGACAAAATTAAAAAAATTAGAATGTTTTGGTTTGTCAATCTTGCATATTGCCTGTGTCCTAAGTACCACACATTTGTTGCTTAAAGTTTTGGTATTACTATAGTTTTAAGGATTGCATTATTTATTTGGGACCAAATTGATTCGTTGATATTTTGTTCAAATAAATCAGTTCAGTGCTGATTTGAATATTATAACAGAAATTGTATTCATATTATCATATTTAAATTGTGATTGTACTACTTGGGAATCACTCACGATAAATAATCACAAATAGAAATTAAATGATTTAAATGTAAAGCATATAATACTACAAACAAAATGAAACTCAGGGAATTATGTGTAAGTATACAAATATTTAAATCAAGTTTGGATTAGATTTATTTGAACCAAAAACTGGAGGAAAGCTATAAGATTTATTTGCTACCTACATTTCAAGAAAAAGTATAAACCACGTATTAATTTTGATACTCATTTCGCAATGTGGTTGCAAATGATTCACTATTTGTTTATTCACTACAATCACTGTACCAAAATTGTAAATTCAAAATGAAATTTTTGAGCAGATGATATAAATGCACTAGTAAAGATGTTATAAAGTACTCGTAAATTATTCCTCCAATATAAATTGAATTATTTTTACTTATCATCGAATCGTTTTGGTCCTTTGGCGCCAAGCGTAATCGCTCGTCGGCGTGTTGCCCCTCGCGGGGCTTTTTTCCTCCATGAGCTCTGGGTCCACTGACACTTGCAGGCACTTAATAAGAAGGAGCATAAGAACGGAGTGATGAGCCCGGACAGCCCGGAACCCGACAATGACTACACACTGACACCCCGCACCGAAGCCAAATATAGCAAAATTGATGAAGAATTCCAACTGATGATACAGCGCAACCAGATGAACGGAACGAGGGTGAGTGATGATAAGATAAATATTAAATACCTTAAACTGTTCTATTGCAACTATCAAGATTGATGATTATTTGCAAATTGAGAAGCACTCTTTTAAAATGATTCATTCATCACTCATGTTCTATTGACGATCACTGTTTTACTTGTGTTATATAGGAGAGACTCTGTGATAAGCGATAATTTTGTTAATTTACCAGTTAGCTGGAAGAAAAGTTAATTGAATGTTCATTTAAACATTTGTCTATGAGAAAGTACTGAAATACTGTCCTTTAATACAACATATTAGTCATAAAATCAAATCATACAAGAAAGGACGAGTGTCACAGCTATAAACACCAAAAATGTTTATAACCACTTATTGTCAGAAATATTTAGCACAACGCAACATAGGGGGAAGTCACCTAGTGGCGGACACCTAAGCTTATTTATAAATAAATAAAAAAATATGTTACGAAATGTTTATTAAATTATGTTTTATGTTAGATAACATAGTTAGAAATCAAACTAAATTAACAAAACCGAAATATTTGCTAAAAAAATAATTAATACTATTAATCAAACTTTGGTATCAAAAAATATGATTTTAAACAGTGGCTCCTAGTACCGGACATTTCAAAATAACCTGCATTGATCACATATGTAGCCATCTCCATACTCTGTAATGTCTGCATATGTGTCTTTGACGAATATTCTTAGATATTGCAAAAAAAAAGTCACTATTCATCCCGCCTTTTGGCTGGGCCACACCGATGCTTTCAGCTGGTGCATTCACCATAAGCATCATCATTTTTCGACTAGGAAATACGAAAAATGGGGGTATATAGTGATCATTAGCACTCATACAGAACAAAATTAAATAATTGGAATAAATTACGTATATTTTCACAAGAAATATCAATATGTTTACTGTCCGGCACTATGGGACGACTTAGTATCCGGTGCTAAGGGACAGACATTTTCGTTCATTTGATGGCATCTACTAAAATTGGTTTAAAGATCTAATAATATTCTACCATTTTACGGATAACAAGCAAGTACAACTTTTATCTTTGCATACCACTCAAATGTAAATGCATAAATATGCTAGAATTACTTCCATTAATATTTAGATGACGCCGTGATTTTGCGCCTAAAACAGGAAAGGGTTGCTCTCGCCGTGGCCGTGTGCGTCTCAGGCGAGGCTTGGCGCGTGATCTTGTACCTGTGTGCCCCCGCGCCCCTTTCACTTGTATTTTGAAATGAAAAGATTTATACTTGCTTAAATAATAAGTGTTAAATAGAGTGTCCGATGCTTGGTGCCGTCCGGCGTTACGGGACTTTCCCCTAATCATCCAAACAAAGCTTTTGAATACAATATAACAAATAATATTTTTTAAACAAGACATCTTTGTGTAATTTTTTTGTTTTCTTGTTTTGAATTTTGTATTCTTTTTCTCCTCTGCATTTTGTCTTACTAGTTAAGTTAGATTTTTAGAACTGTTTCACACAAAAAGGACAAAAATGCATGTCACATGACAAAACTAATTGCTGGTAATTAACTGCTAATATTCAACTTGCAGCAAAATAACAAACAAAGTGATATACAAGTAACATTTTTTAATAAAACAAATCGACGAAAAGAAGCTTAATTTTGGCTCTTTAAAAGCAATTCGGTCGTATGAAGAGTAGGTCGTATAACAGATCATATGAATGTAGGGCGCCGACTCAATGCATTGATGGAAACTTGTTCGAACAAGCATACTTCGTCTTTCCCCATTGTGAACCCTATCTCAAAATCAGTATAGTTTAGCTGTTATACGACTGTCACAACCGTACGCAGTTACTCCTACGTTTATTAAGTTAAATTATCCTTAAAACTAGAGTTTTCCAACTGAAATTATTTTAAACATACGTATAATCATGTCTAGCACATACCTATATTATAGTACAATCATGTCTAGCTTACAGTACCTATATATATCTTTTTAGTTGAAAACTATTTCGCTTCAATTATTCAAGAAATTCAATTATTACGAGAAAATATTGACTTATATTAGAAAATGCTTTCAAATTTATTGTATTGTATCATATTATATTGAAGTGTTTTGAAGATTCTTAACCACAATTGCCTCGACAAGTTTGCTTAATTTTACATGTTTTTTTCTGTGAGAAATAAAATTTAAGCACCTATTAACAAAATTATGTCAAAGAAGTTTTCTCACTGCGTTTACGACCCCTACTTCAACACATATAATGCCCGAAACTGACCCAATTAGACGCGACCTAAATAGCACAGGACCGTATGAGGCTTTGTAAAAATAAGCTTAAATATCTATATATATGCACCTGAGTTTGTTGATAGTCCGTGTGGTAATCAGAACAATAAATCCGAATAAAGTAAATATACTTTTAAAATGATCTTTTTCATTTTCGACGTTTCGGATTTATGGTATACTTCATTTGCAAGTTTATTTCTAGTCGATTAGCATTACCGATATAAAGTCTTTTCTGTTATTTTAAAATATATAATATAGTTGTTTTTTAATGTTGTGTGTTGGACATGTGTGCTAAATATGGGAAGATTGCCTTTACACTGTGAAAACGAAAAAATGAGTGAAATAATAATTAATTAACGCCCTAGCTGTACCATGGGATCAGACTCACAAAACCTGAAGATCATATTTCCGAAATGTTGAGGACAAATACCATATTTTTAAAAGCATATCTCTTTATATTTGCAGTAAGGAGTACCAAAATATGAATGAATAAATTAGTCATATTAGTTTTTGTTTCTTTTTTATATGTAGTGTAAATATTAATATCGTCGCAAGTTGATTTATATTATTCAGTTAATTTCAAATAAGGGCAACACATTTTATTTTATGTTTTGGAGCGCATTACAACTGTTCTTGTTTTAATTGGCAAAAGTTTAATATAAATATTAAATTTACATAAAGTTTTGATTGCCTGTTCTATTTTCATTCCAAAATATTTTGATATCGAGCGCACGTACGTATGAAAATTCTATTTGCAAACAAAACAATCAATAGCTTATTGATACTTCAGGAAGTCATGCATCAGAAAATGCATACTCCATTGTTTCCGGTAACGGACTTCATATTTCCGCAAAATAATAAAAGCAATTTGAATTTTATTGAAGGATAAAATCTTCAGTCGAGTGTTCTCTGATCCCAAGTGACTTGATGTATTCAGCTACTTGACTATACAGGAATATTTAATATTCTGATTATAACGATTTCATAAATGTCACTTAAAACCGACATTTATGGATAGAAATTTAATGAATTGCAAGACGTCAATAATAAACTCACGACGGATAATGAATGAGATTTTTAATATTATTATTCATGAATAAAATCAGTGTTAATTAAATACATCAGAAAGAGACTTATGGAAATTATAATGAGACGAATCAAACTTTATGATATAGAAGCAATTTTGAACACAAAAATACAAATATATTTTTTGCGGATTTATATCAATTATGAATGTACATATATATATATTCGGGTACAGCAGGGCGGGTAGGTCCGCAGGTAAAATGGTCCACCATAATTATTTGAAAAACGAGTAATATTAGGATTTTTGCAACAACAATATTAAAAAGTAGATTGTGAAAGATGTATAACCAGCCTTGATTCCTATGACATCACTATCAGGAGATAAACGGCAATGTTTCAAAATCTGTAACAAACGTATTTGTGAGCACTGTTGTTTAGTTTATGAGATCTCAATATAATTGTTATGTATACGTTATCCATTTGATTTATAAGATGTATTGTTATTCTCAAGTTAGATAGAACAAATTTTATTATGTAGCTTCTATAAAAGCTTACATATGAGTGGGGAAAAAAAGACCAATTAAAATAATATTTCTTATTATCATATAATATCCTTATTATAAACCAATAATAAGAAAATAGTAAATGAGATAGTTTAAAGTTAAGAAAAAAACAATTTTAAAAGAGATGAATTAAATTAATATTTATTCCAACTCTATTGATGAATATTTTTGACAAAATACCAGATCAAGGTTATATACAGTATTATCTTTGTAAAAAAAAGTGCCCATAAAGTTTATATTTTGCATTGCTTAAATAATGTAGCTATTATTTTATAAAATTCCTTTAAAATTATAATTAAAACTATGGATCTTTCTCTTTTTACCCAGCCTATGGTAGCAGGTGACAGAATTTAGAAAAACAGTATAAAGACACATTTTTGTAATTAATAATTAAGTGAGAATTTTATTGAACATAGTTCGATAGTTGTCTATTTGACACGTGTTATTTGTTGTAATGTAGCTTATTTGATAAAAGAGATATAAAGTTGGTCAAGTCAAATATAGAGAAAATATTGATATAACAGATTTGTTTTTCTATGAATATTTATTTGCGAAATGTTATATAAATTCAAAACATTTTTCTCAGTACATATATATGTATGAAATACGCGATGAAATAATTTTTCAACTGAAAACAAGAGAGAACTCGATTCCCATTCCATTACTTACGACTGATATTCTCCAGTGCAAAATGCTTGTTTGTAAGTGGAGCTCATGGTCAATTCGCCCATTAAAGCTGAATGTTTACCGAAAGCCTTTTCTTACGAGTTTTCATTCGACAGCGCAGATCTTTGTTATTCCAATGTTTTGCCTTCGATCGTTCAAAGCTGGGCGGCGTGGGCGCGATCGCTCTTCGGTTGGTGAGAAAGCTGGTCACATCTTACAATCAGGGCTTGTTCTTTTATTTTGATCCATCTTTCAACTATTTGTAAATAGTGATAAAGTGATAATGTCGTAGTATTTTTATTTTGATTTTATTTAAACACATAGCCCACTGAATAACTCCAAGAGGACTTAAAAATATAATTATCATATATATATAATATAGATAAAATACAACATATTAAGGCGCATGGCGTCGTGCCTTAAGGCAAATTGCTGGCAATTCCTGTACCGTAATTAAACATTCGAGAAATGAAAATAATCAATAATTGTTTTGAATAATTTTAAATAGATTATTTATTATAAATACATACTGTAAACTTATAAGTGTTTCATAAACAACTTATGTGTATGTTTATAAGAAATTTGGAAATGTTTGAAAATTTCTAAATATTTTCATATAATTTTTGTAAGAAATAGTTTTTTTTTAATTTTGATATTTTTTGAAATTTATTCAAATTTAGTTTTTTTTGAAAATTATGAAAAATTTCGAAAATTTGAATTTTTTTGAAAACTTGAAATTTTTGCACGCCGTCTACTCAAGCAAAATATTTTTTGAATTAATATATTTGGATGATCCGTTCTCTGCATAACCGTTTTTACACCCTTTGCGCTCCATACCTCCGAAACGGCAAAATTGCATTTTGCAAAAACTATCTATATCTTTGTTGATTCAGTTATAGTTAGAGAGCATAAGTATAATAGGCGCATTTAAGAGATAATTAAATTTAGGAATAGGATAATTATGCGGAGAACAACTCAACAGTTGTGAAGAAACAATTCTTCAATTATTCAATTAATCAAATGCACTTTTTGAGAAAAGTAATGTTAGGTAAAAATATGCATTTTGCAATATTAGTTAATTTGGCAACCTTATTTATTTTAATACACAATAGCTTGATAGTCGTTATCAAAACATTTCGTTTGCATTTATCAGTTAATTTTGCGATATCATAGATACGAGAACGAAAGCTGTAATAGTATGTATTTACTACTTATTTAGCTTTCTGTTGCTTCTGCTTTTATTTTTATTTATATAAATGAAGTAAATTTGATAATATATAATTGTCTACTTTTAGAGACTCAACCACTTTACACAATAAATAATGAATAATAATGAAATAAGAAAATAAACTGAAAATTTTTTGACATGAACAAAAATAGCTCTAAACAGTTAAACTGTGATGATAAAAATAATGCATTGCCTTAAAAGTCAAACATTAAAAAACGTAGGGTGAAAATAAAATAAAAAGTAAATAATGAATGAATAAAATAAATAATATGATTATAAGAATAATTATACAATCTATGGATTTAACATATTTTTCTATATAATTTTCCCATGGAATTCAAAAATTGTTAAAATTTATGGTAAAAAACATGTTTAATTGTGGAAATTGAGAGTATTAAAATTACATTTGAGTGAGAGTGAGGTATGAATTAGAGCATTGGTTTCATTATTGATATTTGATAAGACTTTAAAATCTTCATAAGATTTGGGTTATAGCTATTGCAGTAATTTTTTCACTTTTATTATATTTCATATAAACTATTAAATTAATAACTTGGCAAATATAGATTTATTACTGTAAGGCTTCATTTTTCTTTCATAGCGTTTATTAAGGTATTCCTTTTATAAGCTGCTTGTATATTTATATGCATCTATATATTTGTATTGAAATCGAAACTTACAACGTCTCCAATTTATTGTGCTCAAAGCTATTATTTTATTTTTTTTTTTATCATTTATTAAAGTATCTCAGCTCTCTTCTGCAGCTTGCCCTTTTATTTCGATTTAATATTAGAAATGTATTGAAAAGACGTTCTTGTGAAATTTGAGGCACGAGACGAACGCCTATTGTCCTTTTTACCTTTCTTGAAACCGATACAGTGGAAAATTTCTTTGTCATGTTCAGAACTTTTGTAATTGATTAAATTTTCCACAATAATATTTGTAGATTTATTAAAAATATATTAATCAAGTATAGTAACATTTCTAAAATATTTATTCCAATAATGAAATTATTTTTATTTATTGAGTGTGAAAATGAAATGAAAATTATGTATTTTTAATCAACATTTAGGCGTGGAATAAGTACATAATTTTATGGATATTATTAATTTTATTTGCTTCTGACACAATGAATTATAAAATTAAATTTTAAATTGAATCGAATTTTATGTTATTTTTTATACATGATGGACTTTAACAAATATTTTCACCTGGTAATTTATTTAAGTCTTACAACTAATTTGATGACCCCAGTGTCATCTCATCCACTCAATGGTTCTCAATTATTTTCATCAATAGTACGAAAGTTTTCTTAGCTAGTCAATAACATTTATGGTGTTATTATATTATTTTTTCTAATAAATAGCAAGTCGGTGTTGGAGCTGGAAATTATTCTTTACCAGTAACGATGCCTGTAGCCGGAGGCTATGGCGATGGATCTCTCTTGCAGGCGAGTCCTCAAATGGCACACACTAGTATCAGCCCACGACCTTCTTCATCCGAAACTGACTCTGGTGAGTAGTAGTTAATGAAAATTTTTAATAACGACACAAATATGTACTTTTTATTTTAGTTATTGTTTTTTTGCTGTGTAGAGGAGCTAGGGGCTTGTTGTATTTTTTTTTCAAATTATTACAGGTTACAGCGTTATTTAGATGTGGTCAATGGAAATGTTGAATAGCTTGAACAATTTTCAATTAATTTTTATAAACTTTTTTTTTATTATCAAATTTAAAGCCCTACAAATTTTTCCGACTAGGTTTAAAAAACAACGTCGATCAAACGACCCCCTTCATTGCGGAAACAAAACTTCGTTCTTTCCATTGTTCACATATTGATGGCGTACCCTGCATATCCTGAGATCCACTGATTATATTTCTACGAAATAAAGATGGATAGTTGCTGTAACTATTCCTCTACCGATTCAAGTAAAAATATGTCCACAAATGTTGTTCATTATTTTACAATCTAGAATATATGCGGTGTTACAACTTACCTCGTATTCGGGGTTAGTTGTAATATCTACCGTAGCAAGTAGTAACACCGACAAAAAAACTACAATGCTTTTGATAATTCATTCTCTGCATATTTTTTAGAAAATTGAATTGTTTCTAAGCAATTTTGCTCACACTTCAACGCAAACTATAATTTCTACAAATAAAATATATAACGTCTCTTGTAATATTAGTTTTTATCATAAATCAACGTAAACTACAATTAATATCATAATAAAAATAAAAGATATACTGTCTCCTGTAACACAATTTGCTCACATCTTTCTAACTATTCCACTCAATCTTCTTCACTTGAATCTGTATATAATTTTACAACTAGCCCCAAAGTTTTGTTTCAACTAACCTCAGGAGTGATGTTTATACATTAATCAAGATAACTATTTATACAATTTAGCAATCACAAAAATTGTTACAGATTATCAAAGACTGATAAAATTAAAACGAGATGAAAAATATAAAATTCAAAATTCTTCTATAATAATAATGCAAATAAAAATTTTGTGATAGATCAATATTATATTGCCTGTAAAAAATGACGGACCTGCACAGTTCTGTTTATTGCGAGACAATAGCTATGACAATATTATACAGGACGATTTCCATGCCCAATCGAGACAAAAAAATATTTCAATAGCATTTAAGATAGAGGTGGGTCGTTGACGGTTTTGCCGTCAACGAAACGAAACGGTTATCGGGGTTTCGTCAACTAGTTAAATAACTAGTTATTTTTCAACTATAGTTATTTTTAACGATTCAACGCTGGCAACGTTAAGAAACTGATAGTTGAAATAACTGTTTCATTGAAAGTTGGTAATATGAAGTTTGTTCTTATAAAAGTCAAGTTGACGTTGGATTTGATGAATAAAAAGAAATAAATGTGAATTGTCACATTTATTACACACACACACACACACACACACAGATATATATATATATATATATACATATATATATAATAAATAAAGGTTTAATTTAAAAAACTTAAATATTTTCATTACAGCAAAGCCATATACTAAAACATCGAATTTACATGTTATATAAAAATAGCAATATAAAAATGTATAGTTATATAAAATGTTATGAAAAATAAAAAATCAATTTTCAGGTTTAGTTTAAAAAAATCATTACAAGACAAATGCTATGAGATTTTTATGAAAAATATTAACCATTGAAAACTATAATAAATGTAACTGATTTTCTAAAATTAAACGATTTGGCGCGTGTTGCAAGTTTCTTTTAAGATGTACTTGTACATGTACATTTGCAATATTATAAAAGCAGTAGCCTAACAATAAGCGATTTTCATAGTATTAGTTGATCCTTTCCGACGCAGGTACCTGCCTACGTTCGTTTTCGACAACGAACGAATTCCTATATCGTTGAAAAAACTAACTGGCCGCCATGTTTTCAACTGCTTCGAAACCAGTTGATTTTCAACTAGTTATTTCGTTGCGACGAAACGGTTAGTTAGTTAACGATGAAGAAACGGTTGAAAATAACCGTTCGTTGATTCAACGCCCATCACTAATTTAAGATGATATTGAAAAACACCTGTTACTTGTTACCTCTGTTATAGATAGCCTCTAGCTCTCCTATTTTAACATAGTCCTTTTTACGCGGTTTTGTCTGATCGCACCTATCATGTAAAATATATATTAGATTATATTATAAATATATATATATATATATATATATATATATATATATATATATATTATTATATGATTATGATTTTATTCATATAAAAAAGTATGCATCAATGTTTTGTATCAAATGTGTTATTTTCTTGATATGTTAGATGAATTTGAACTTGAATTTGTTCTACTAATTTTATATTATTTGTATATGTGATTTTATTATTATTATAATCTATTATCAAAAAACTTTTTTTAAGCTTTTAAGAAGTCATACATTTCAAATTATGAGCTTATTATTATTATCTAGAAATACTTAAATTGAAATAAAATATTTCTAAGAAAACCATTAAGATTAATTTGTGCTTTATATTATAATATTATCACGATCTTTTCTGCAATCAATAAATGAATATGTACATAAATTTAAATTACTTATTACTACCTAATACTATCAATATTATAATACAATTATAAATATTCATGTAATTTTTTACCCAGTTTACCCACCCGGTGGTATGCTGGAAATGACAAATGGTTACCCGCACTCTGTGTCCCCTCTGGGAGGTTCTCCGTCCCCTGGGCCAAGTCCCAACATGGTTCTGAAGACTCACGGCCACGCAGCTAAGCAACACTCGCCGGGTCCGTCTGGTCCTAAGAACCTCAGGCTGGCCATACCCACACCGATGACGACTCATGCTGACGAAATGACTTATAGTGAAGTAAGTTCAATCGTCAAAATCACATAGACTAAATCAATAGAGAATAAGTTTAGTTTCAAAATCTATTTCCATAAAGCTTTTAATTTCTGCTATTAAATAAATTTTGATTAGTTCATCAAGAGGATTTAACCAGATGGTATTTAAGTTAAGATGCATAAATACAGGGTAAAGATATGTTAGAATAATGGAATTGTACATATATTTAATATCCAAATTATATTACATTACTTATCAACAATGTTGTACTATGTATATTTAACATGTTTTTTTGATGTTTGTACAAGAGTGTGGATATAATTTTTGTTTGAAAACCTGAAATAACATTTTCATACACAGAAGTTTGAACATTAGTCCGCTATGGCTTGAAAGCCACTTAATTCATTAATTGTAGCACAAAAATTGTTTAAACATATGTTTTTGCTTTTCATTTGCATATAATATAAGCTTATAATTACTGATTTTTTGTTCCTCTCATTTTTTTGAAAATAAAATAAAATTTCCGCCTATAGAGAGTTAAATTACAAGTAAAGACTAGCGATAAATAATGTCCGCTTACATAGTATATTTCTTTTATAACGAAAACCTGCATCTAGAATTTTGATGAAACTTGGCATAATGGTGCATTTTATGCCTAAACTGACTGTGGTAAAATATTAGAGGCCTATGAAGAATGCTTTAATTATAAGAATTAATTAAAATTTACATTTCAAAAGCGCACAGCATAGATAGTTTGCAATGCATTCTCGTATCAGAAAATAATAATAAACCAGATTTGATACCTAAAACATTATATGTAATTTCGTATTAAAAACAGCAATAATAAGGATAAAAAATATAATTTATTTGCATATAAAATTTAATTTAAGGTTTACAATTGACGGGATGATACTTGCAAAAACAAGAAAAACATAAATGTAAATTGCAGTGAGTAAATCTAAAAAATGCGGCAGTTTTACATAAACCTTTCGCACTAGCGACGGTTTTCGAGAAACATAATTGATTTACATTTTTAAAAAAATCTCTTCTTACTAATGACGTAGGAGAAAGAACCAGTACAGTAGTTTGTTTTTAATATGTAATAATATCAGCATACAATCTACCATTATGCCAAGGTGCATCAAAATCCGAGATGAGCTAGGCGCGGGTTCTCCTTGTTAGTCTAAAAAAGGCGCTTAAATGAATGAAGAGTGTGATGCAATCAGGATGATACAATGTCAGGATGATGTTTATTTTTCAGATCACATTTAATGCTACTTTCCATAGCGTTTCGAATGCATTGTCTTATTTTGATGTCACATTTTAGATTCATTTTAACGTAACAAAAATTCATTATGTGCATATCTAACTGAACGTAGTTGTTGTTGCAGCACAATCGCGCGGCTCAATCATCACTGAACACCCCCGTAGTGGCGTTGCAGACTCCGAGCATACCGTCTAGTCTCGCTGGCGGTTATACTAGTTTGGCTTCTTTCGGCGCACAGGACTTCTCAATGGGCAACGACATGGGACTTGGACTTGGATGGAATTCGCACCAATTACAAACGAGCTTACAACACACTAGGTCGGTACTCACGACATACTAGGTTTTTTATATTATCGTAAATGATATATTTTTTATTAAATTTGGCTGTGATCGATAGGAAAATATTTGTATCTTGTAGGAGCCTAATGATTTATTTAAGTATTTAACGCCCATGGCAATACTACAATGAAAATGGAATTACATTTTATAGTGCGCAAATTATAAACTAAAGATAATAGATGAGAAAATTTAGAGTGTGTTAGAGTTCATAAACAGCTTTTGATATACACATAACATTTAAACTAAATAGAAACTGCAAATATTCAACCGTAAATATAAAATACCTATCACTATTTATAAAGTCATTTGAGGAAATTTTTTTGGTTTTATTTTTCATATTGCTCACAGACAGTCCAAATATATAATATCAATCTCAAAAACAAATTCATTCTGAACATTGAAGCGCGCGAAACAATCTTAGATTTAACTATAGGTATATCCACGGTCCTATTATTTCGTAATTTAACATTTGGAGCAATAAGTTGAAACGTTCTAAAAGTTGTGGAGCATCTAAAATACCTTTGACAATCCTTGCTTCATAGCAGATGACAAGATATTTTCTATTAGCATTGAGTGGAGTAGTGTCAAGATATCTGTATGTTTGGAAAAGGCTCAGCAGAAAATGATTTTCATAGTTTCGAAATCTGACGTTATTGACAAATTTTTCTGGACAGATTCAATTCTAACAATATGACATTGATATATCGTATTCCAAATAATACACTCATACTCTAATGTTGGTCTAACGAAGGTATCAAAGAGTACACTTAGAGTAGCATTGTTTTGTAAATCACTAACACTGTTCCTAAGCAGACCACCGAGTATCCTATTTGCCTTAAGCCACAATATTCTTCAAATGAACATCGAATGCTAGATTTTCATCTATAAATACTTACAAATCACGAATTCTATCTGTTTAAGTAAATCTTCTGCTATGAAGTATTGATGACTATATAATACCCCAGTAAAAACCGGGCGGCGGTAGCAATCTGAAGTCCACATTGATTATACATGGGTGTCACAGCGCTGAAGGAATGCTTGTGGATTTCAGGTTGCTGCCGACGCTCACATCACACGGTGTTTACTGGAACCTTATGAGATGACTATTCAACTAATTTTATAGTTTTATTTATGAAGACTCTATAACATTATATATATTCTATATATTTTTTAATAAATTTTAATTTACCAATGTCTATTTGACATTTATTATTTCTAAGTTTGTTTTAACAAAATGTATTTTTTTATCGCAATTAGCGGCCTTCCTCACTTGGCAGTATCGAATAGTACGCCCCCGCCGTCCACTTCTCCTGGTCCAGTGAAAATCAAATCGGAACCGATCTCACCTTCTCGAGAGACTTCGCACCATGGCCATCATCCTATAACGGTGACGCACACGCTATCAGGACACACTATCGGACATAATCTGGCGCCACAGCACAGGCCTAACTCTGCTGGACATCTCACGCCGACGCCAGGTGAGAAAACAATTTTTGTTTTTATTTTTACAAAAAGAGTTCAAAATTGTCTATCGTACGAAAAATGCCACGCACCAATTATTGTATTGCACTTCCAACACTTAACGGACGGATCGAATCTCTTTTGTTGAGAACCTAGTTTCCGAGCATTTTTCAGAGGAATTAAATAAACGCGAATTAAAATTAAAATACTTTTTATTGCCAACGTAAATATATAAAAAAATATTGAAATCTTAAGTTTTCATGCATTGAAATATATTAGTCACAAGCTTATACAGCGAATGAAAATAATCAATAATAATTGTTGTTTTTATTCGGCGCGTTGGATTTTTTATTATGACTAATGAATATACTTATATACAAGATATAAATGAATTTTGGTTTTTAATAAATGTTTTTATATATACAGAATTGGTCGAAACGCGCGATAACAACGAGCCTTATGCTTGCTCGTCACTCTTGCAAAGCGATTTTATATGGGTGTTCTTGTACCGGCAGCGCGTGTACTAGCTTAAGTTTTTCCAACTTTCCACCACGAAGTTCCTCCTGCATTTAAATGAATTTTTGAACAACAAAAGAAAAATGTACAGGCTTTCGAATGGTGCTAATTTAAAAGTAGTCCAAAGAGCCGCACTAGTAGAAAATGGAATATGAAAAATCATTTTCACCTTTTCGCGTACTAACAAATAATTTTTTCACATTATTTGTTATGAACAACATAGACAAGATCAGTATGAATAGAATGACGTTAACATTTTTTTGATATCTCTTATATTTCCGATGAAAAGTGAGTTTGAAAAAAGGGACCACTTTCACATGCTTTCACTGATATTTTGGCCAAATGATGGGCTACGAATTTGAAATTTGGTATTTTGAGTTTTCTCGAAAATACCTATAAAGTGGCATCAAAATCATTTAAATACCAGGGTGGGGCCAATTCTGTATGGAAACACGCCCAGAACCTTTGTATTTAATCAATTATATTCATTTTAACACGTTAATCGCCTTGTCAGTCATATGCATCTAACATTAAGAAAATCTACATGGCCCAAGTCATACATATATGTCTAACATACGCGATTTGGTAGAACACCACGTCAATCACAGATGTCTGACGCGAACGATACAATTAGAGTATGTTTGGCCTATCGGGAACAAAACCTGAAAATTTTATTCAAAAAATGCTTCAAACATAAAACACTGACACGACTTGTCGAGAAAAAAAGTTTTAATATAGGGCCATGTCAAACATATATCTGTGAAATAAAAAATAGTGCTTTTCAAGGAATTTTGGGGAATTTTTTTTTCTTGATACATTTTTAACTAAATTATCTAATAAAGTTATCATAGTCCATGTGAAAATTTTATTAATTTCATCGTGGCGATTAACATATTAATAACAACAAACAGATAGTATGGGAGACTGGGTACGGTTGTGCCACTTTTTTTGATCAGCCATAATTTTATTAATATACCAGTTTGCTGGAAGAAAAGAAAATAAATGGAAGTTTGAATATTTGTCTACGTAGAAATACTGAAATATTGTCCTTAAATACTATGGATTAGAGTGTCACAACCGTCCACACCCGAGAGACGGTTGTGGTCGGCATAAAAATAAGTTAAAAAGAATAGCTATAAACCCCAAAATGGTTTATAACGAATTTTATTATCAGAAGAATGTAACACAACACAACATAATTATTTGAAAAAAGCTTATGAATATAACAACATATAAGAAAAAATATTTTTTTTAAATGGGAAATCTTTGTGAAATCTTTTGTTTTCTTGTATTGAATTTTCCTTCATCTTTCTCTTTCGTATTTTGTCTTATGTTAGTTAAGTTAGATTTTTTTATCTGTTTAAGTTTTACCTAGAAAGAAATGCATGTCACAACATATACATGTCATATAAAACAAAACTAATTGCTGGTAATTAGCTACTAATGTTCAACTTACAGCAAAATAACAAACAAAGTGGTCTATCTGTATACAAGAAATAGTTATTATTGAACGAAATCGAACAAAGAAACTTCTTTGACTCTTTAAGAGTAATGCGGTCTACAGATCTTCCTAATGTAGGGCGCAGACTGAATGCAAGAATGGGAACATGTTTAAACAAACATAATTCATTTTTCTCCTTTTGGGTCCTACGTCAAAATCAGTATAATTGAGTTAAATTAAATCACTACCGTACCCTGCCAAAACCGTGCCTCGTCTTTCCTACTATATATAATAGTTGAAGTAAAATGCAAATTCGTAGATCTACGCGTCTTAGGAGGTCGGTATAGAAAAACATAAATATTCAGGGCCCGTTCTTTAAGTGTTAAAGTGAAAATTGATATTAGCAATATTGTGCGGCTATATCTTGCGACCTATTCTGCCGTAAAATAGATCAATGTTATAGAAGGCTAGCATAGCCTATGTAAAGTGGTACTGAAAACTGTCAAAATCCTTTGTCAGGCCTAACATAGAAAACCCAACCTAGAAAACTCACAAATGTCAAAAAACTAGGTTATGATAACTGGATCTTTGGGATATGGCTTGATAGCATACGAGTGAAGTTGCATTTTATGTGTAAAACACTTGATCGCATAGGAAATACATGGCAGTCTGACAGTATTTAGTATCATTTTGTATGAAAACTAGAACGTAACATAGCCTTGTCGGCAGAATCGTAAATCCCACTTATTTCATCATTGTGAAATAATATTCGATTGGATATTATGGGACCGATTCTGCCTCATAACAGATCAATGTTATGGCAAGGCTATGTTATGAAGAACTTTCCATACAAATTTGTTCAAAATATTAACAAAAGCCATGTGGTTGCTCTGCAGTCAGGCGAATTTCTCAGGTTGTCAAATAGAAAACATAACCTAGAAACCGCTTAAATATCAAAAAACGATGTTAGAAAACAGAGTCTTTCTGACTCAGGTTCTTAACATACGAGTGGCGTTGCAGTTTATGTGCAAAACGCCTGAATGCGCAACAAATACATAACATTTTGACAGTATTCAGTATGATTAAGTAGCATAATGTATGGAAATTGGAGCGTAGCATGGCTTTGCCACAACATTGGTCTGTTATGCGGCAGAATCGGTCCCTATATTAGAGATAATATAAGAATTGATAAATGTTTTGTCCGTCAGGAACGGTGACGCCGACGAACGTGCCGTCGCCTGGTGCCGAAATGCGTCATAGTTCCAGCTCGGAGTACGACTCCGGTCCGCACATGAAGCGCAGCCGCTTGAACGACAACAGTTGGAGCACATAGCGTTCGGCGCACGCTGGACCGATAGTCACCGGCATGCAGCACACGGTCATGTACCACAGTTAAGGTTCGTTCACATTTTCGCCGAGTGACGGGACGAACGATTAACCACAAATCAGATATAATTATAATATTATAATATAATATATCGCTCGACCTCGGACGGACGGACGACGTGCCCTATGGTTGACAGTATGAATGTGAGACTCTTGCTTGCGTGAGTTTTGAACGTTCGTTCGTCTGTTCGTCAGCTCGTTCAAAATTCGTTCGTCGTAGTTCAAAACTATGTGCAATTACTTCTAATGCAGCGACACAGCCTTGCAATATATATATTGATAAATTATTTAATCTATTGAAAACTATTCAACAAAGAGAATTATACGAATAATCATCAAGTCGTACATGGTACATTTGTAAATATATTTTAGAATTATCTGTACATCATTAAGTAATATTACTATTTAGTCATAGTGGTTAGACTTTTGCTGAACGTTTATTTTAAATGTTAAATACATATATTTATCGCATATATGTATATATATATATATATATATATATATATATATATATATTTGCGATAAAAATTGTTTGTATAAAATGCTTGTCCTGAATGGCCCAGTTGTATCATAAGAAATGTTTATAGATAAATTTAACTTGGATAAGAACCTGTTTAAAAAAAGTGGTATTCGTTTTAATACCCTATTTATATTGTCACTTTTATAATAATTACTATATATATACAATATGCAAAGCATATAAAATATTTTAAATACAATGTTTATTTATCAAATGAATGAAAAATAGCGTTTCATATTTATATCAAAATTTTATTACTATAGTAGTCGTTTAAGTATGTGATGGGTGATTTTACTGATTTCCCTAGATTCGGACGTATTTCATGCTTCGAAGTAATTCTCACAGAAGCTGAGAACTTCGTTTTACTCGAGATTTATCACACTCGTTTAACGTCGCGATTTTGAATAGGAAGTCGTTATTTGTGGTCGTTATAAAAATCAAATACCACTAAGAAATGATTAAAATAAAACTAAACCTCCCACTGCACAAGTTGCGCTCTGACACTGTATATATTTTTCAAAAAAGTGAAATAGTCATAACTCATTGTATTTTTAATGTATTATAGCGTTATATTAAAGTTTATGATAAAGTTGTGTAATTATATATATATATATATATATATATATATAAACATAAAGGAACATTTTGAAATGAATATAACAGGTGTTGTTGATTTAAATGGTTTATAAAAGTGAAAAAGAAATTTTAGTAAGTTTACTCCATACCTATTGATTGCAAGTAATTTAAATTGCCATGTTAAGCCATAGTTAGTATGCCATTTTCTGGTGATTGGGTAAATTGTATTTGTATTGAACTGCATATCTATATGTATATTTGCATACATACATGTAATATATTTGTTTTTGTTTTACTAGTCATCTAACGTCTTTAAATTACTACATTTTAGACAGGCAACATATAAATGTTGTGCGGATATATTGTCAAGTTGAAAACGCGATCAAGCAAAAATGTTGTAATATGAAGTTTAAATTACATATAATTGGCCAAATACAAACTTATTTCCTATCTTAATTGAACTTGACGATCCCATCAACAAAAATGTGATTTGTTGTTTGTCTTTATGTTCTGAAAATGTTAGTTATTCAAGTAACTTAAGATTAAGGATCAATACACATTTGAATAATTTGATGGAGCCAATTGTTACATATATATGTGATAACTAATTTGTATGAATCTAGTACACGGTAATAAACTGCGAATTACATTGCTGCAAGAAATAATTTAGGAAAATATGTTGGTTGATACTAGAAGTCTTATCTCAAGTAGTATTACATATCGTTTCCTAGACTATGTTTTCTTAATAATATTTGTATCTAATTTAAATTCTTTATAACGCATTGTATGAATAAATCTAAATACAACGTATGCAAGTTTGTTATTATATAAAAATTGATGAAAAATGATTAGTGAACATAAATAATCTGCATTGCATATATTTTTTGAATCACCATTTATGCGTATTGAAGTCAGTGAAGAAATTTCTTTAACCAATAATAATCAAATACAAAAAAAATAATTTTATTTTAATTTTGCTATCTACAATTAATTTGTTTAAAATAATGTAAGATATATTTCTTGTCAGCATTTGTATGTAGCATTTTATTTTGTCCGTGTATTAGAATAAGTTTTCAACATGGCCATTTTCCGTGTTCCACGTGCATTGTTTTACTTCGGTGAAATATCAGCGTAAACCTTAATTTTGATTATATAATTGTTGATTTTTCATGTGCCATCTCTTTGTAGTCATTTATATACACATTTCGTATACCTCCTTTTCTGAGCGTCAATGCAAAAAAAACTCCCAAGATCTGTTATTATGAGCATATTTTGACTGAATATATTTATAGAACAAATTCGATTAGATAGTTATAATTGAATGTAATTTATTTAAACATAAAATATGAAATTAAAAAAACTAACATAACAAATGAGCTTAATTCAGTGATCGAAAGTTGCGCGTCCGGAGGAAATGCCCAGTAAATTTAGTAATAGTAAAATATATCTTAAAATATATGTATATATGTCTTAAGTTAGTTTTGCGAGTTTGTAACTCTTATGGAAGTAATATCTCGACACGTCTGCATAGGTTAGTTAGAAAAATATATATATATTTTCCTGCACTTAAAAATGACCAATTGTAAAGCCAAGTGATTGTGCCTCTATTACAGTGGTTTCAAAATACATATTAAATTCTCTTTTATTCGATTCAATATGTTTTTATATGCAGAGCCGCATCACCTTTGCTTCAATTCGGAGAAATATAAGAGGACCTTGCCATTCAATAGTTTTGCGGCCAAAAATGTTTTTTAATTTGATTATTTAGAAATTAATATGGTTCTTTTAAATATATTTCAATGCCCATATGCAATTTATATTTCTTTTCCACGAAAAACTCAAAGCTCGTATATTTTTCATTTCAGATTAATTCTTGATAACTGTCCAATTATTAAATTGATTGTTCTTTAAACTTTTATTAGCCATAAATTGCGGCGCGAATGATTAAAAATCTTGATGTGATATATGGTAGGGTACATTAATGATATTCATCAATCATGTATATTTATATCAATTAAATTTACAATTGCATTACAATAAATGTTTAATACACTGAAAACATGGGCATCTGTTAGCATCGTCAACTTTTCATTTCACTTCGTGTAATATGATTCATATACGTCAAAGTATTGATGAAAAAATCATCATCAATGACCTGTTGTAATTATATTTCCCTTGTGTATATGCATGGATCAAAATATTTAGAATTAAGGCAAAGCGCACCGACCACAGTAATTGTCACACAGTTCGCAAATCATATACAAAATATATTTTTAATATCCAAACCCTTTGCAAAAGACATTATTGTAATTTTTCTTGATGTTGCTTTAATTTTATTTTAATGAATTTTAATATGTTACATTTAATTATACATACTGAAAATGTTCCTCATTATTTCTACGAGATATTTGTAATAAGCAGTAAATGATATCTTATTTTTATTTATCATTCCAAAACTATGATACGATGAAAATAATTATGGAGAATCTGTTTTCTAAATTTGTAGAGGGATAAACACTATTCATCTTTTCCAGACCAAAGTTTAATACATGAACACATCACACTTACAATTTGTAATAATGGACAACAAAAAATATAATAATTTGTTCAATTTTTGTTACATAGAATATTTGAAGTTGGAACTGAGATTAGATGAATGGTGTTTCTTCTAAGAAAATTTTGGAAAAATAATTAATAAATTTCCTATTCGTCTTTTACCCGTTCATTAATGTGATGTGTTGGAAACTGAACAAGCTGTCCTTCATATCTCCATTGTAGATGCCTTAATCACGTGCCTAATAATAAAACTATGTGTGATCTCTATTAGTAAAAAAAGAAGTATACACTTTGAATCCACCTAGTGGTCTAGTTGCAAATTAGACTGTTATGACCCTACATACAAAAATATGTGTATATTGTATATATACATATATATATATATATATATATATATATATACATGTTAGATGTATATATATATACGTGTAAGTCACGAACTGAATACACACAGTAACCTCCTGTAAAGGCAATGTATGTATAGAAACTGAATATCTTAGAATAATAATCGGATTAATGGATTAATATTGTGGGTACTGTACGTTTTCAAGCCAAAAAAACTATAAAAATATATATGCAATCAATTAATAAAATGTAATTAATCAAAATCAAAAAAATGTACGAAGAATGTCTTACATATTTTTAATGTTGTTACACTTAGATTTCAAATTCTAATTCACTTTCCTGGACTTTGTATGTGATATTTTTGAAATATAAAAGGACATGTATATTGGTTATTGACTTAAATATTGTAAAGAAATAATCACACATATTGGAAAGTATAATTGTTACCATTGAGAGCATATAAAGTCTGTAACAGGTGTCGGCAGTTCTAAAAGGGTCTAACGACAAGACAATTTGCTATATTCAATATATTGACTTGAAATCAAAATGAATAAATAATGAATAATCCAAATCATAGTCTTCGCACTGAATGAAATTGATTCTTTTGAGCGGAATTTCCATTTCGGTTGCCGGCACCTGTATCACAAATCATTTGATGTTTTAACGAAAAATACCACATGGCACCATAAGTACTCCACACAACTGCATGATGGTATAATGTAATTAATTATAAGTGTGTTTGTGTAAAAATAAAATCAGTGCAGGGTACAAATTATCCAGAGTCCTTAACTCGAACATGAGTCTTGTGTTTAGCGTATCGTGTATGTTAAATGTTATGTCGGTCATAACAAATGTTTTAGAACTTAAACCGATATGTAAAAATAATAATATCAAGAGAATTTTATTTTAACTATACTGGGAAACTGATACATAGTTTAAATTATTTTTATATATTTATTAAATTGAATACAAATATTGGTCTCAAGTAAATTACATTTAGGTACTATATTGAAATATAGTCAATAACGAATTGTATGCATATTTAAGTAATTTTGTTATATACATTTTGCTGTTTAATTTAAAATTAATTTAATAAATGAACTATTTATAAGTTATTCAATGCTATTGTTGAAGCCGTTACGATTGAATACTCCTTAAGTGAGTTAAATTTAATAAATGGTAATTTTTAATAACCAAAATGATAACTAAGTCAAATATTATTAAAAATATGGCAAACATGAGTCTAGTGTGCAATATAAATGTTGAACCAGCAATTGTTATCATATGTTGATATATATAGGTACATAATTCAAATGATATGCGTTCTGTATTTATGCATACCTATATACATGTGTACATATATATGTGCATATTGAGTATGTAAGTAAACGTGTTTACATAGTTATATATTTATTTATGTAAAATCCTTAGATATTAATGTATAAAAGGATACTGTAGATAATTCTCACAATTTGTAATGATTTATGTTTTACTGTATACTTATTTGTAAACATATATGAAGTTATGCTTTTTGTATTGTTATTTTTCACCATCTAATACATCCAACATTTTATTTTTCAGGGTGTTATCAGCTTTAATGATGCATATATGTTGCAATATGCCATAAATTTGCTTAACTAAAATTAATAAAAACCCTTCAAATTCTGTTTTTCATACGGGGCTCAGGTTCAATTCTCGTTAGCATCTCGATGTCGAGCAGTAGCGATATCCAATTTCACTGGGAAATATAAATCCAAAATGTGGTTTTAGGTAGAAATAACCATTTCCAATCATTGCTGCATCTAATAATAATAAGATGTGATCAATATCAGATAAGTTGTAATAAAATAAGCAAACATATATAGGTTAACCGTTGGGTTATCATCTCAATACGGCGTAAAAGGAGAAGTTCTGACTGCAGATAAAAATGAGTAATAAAAAAAAAGTTTCATTTCACAAATGACAAAAATCAAACTAATCATGAGAACTTTGAAACAACTAAATATAATTTCGGGAACAAAAGAATGAAATGAAGAAATTAAAAATATAATTTAAAGGGTTAAAACTAGTATTTGAATAGGCCATTTTTAATGGACTGTGCGAATTAAGAAATCAAAATTCATTCAATAATTTGCTGTTTACAAACAAAAAAATGTGCTTGAAGTTCTGAAATTCAAAATATTCCGTTCTTGTGATGTAATAGAAGCATACTTTTTATTCTTGGCCTTACAGTTACAATCGCAAATGCTTAAAGAAGTTTTTGAAATATAAAACTAATATAAAATGAATAATTTTGAAATCGGTGCAGCTGTTTTTTTCCAAGAAAAAAATACGAAAGGTACCTTTCGCTTTGGCTTATATAGACATAAGTGGCGGATTAGGCTTTCTGCCGCCCTAGGCCCTATCTGATCAGGTGCCCTGTTTAATAAACAAGATTTTACATTTTATTTAAATTTTTTTCTCGACGTTTCAAACCATTCTGAATCGAATGAGACTAAATTTGAATTAGTGGTGTATGGCATCGTGCCTCAAGACAAATTGCTGGAGCTTCCCGTACCGTAAAGAAATGTTCGAGAAATATTAAATGTTTTCAAATAGGTTATTAGAAATAATACTGTAACATTGTCTAATACTCATAAGAATTATATAAACTGAATGACAAAGTTATAATTATTCAATTAGAGTATATAAGTGATCTTTAGAACTTTAGCCAGAATTAAAATTAAAATTTGAATTATTTTTGATATACAAAAAAAATTGAAATAATTTTTTTTTCCAAAAGTAATTATTTTGTAAAACAAGCAAAAAGTTTTTTGAACCATTCAAATCGGATGCTTAGTTTTCTCAAAAACTGTCATTCTTTGCACATTTAGCTCGGTATCTCCAAATCCACTGGACCTGCCTTTGGCAGAAACTAATCACCACTTCTACCCGTCATTACTAATTGAATGTTTTTCGGATCATTCAAATCGGATACTCCGTTCTCTCAAAAACTCGATTTGTATTTTCTGCACTCTTTTCTCCGTATCTCCTTAACGACTGGACCTGCCTTTACCAAAAACTTATCAGCACATCTCCCTGTCATTAGGAATCGAATGTTTTTTGAACCATTCAAATCGGTTGATCCGTGCGCCCGAAAACGTGGACGAAAAAAGGTGGACACACAAAACACACACACATCTATTTTTTCTTTAGGTATGCCAAAATGTTTAAAAACCTCTGAAACATGAAGAAATGTAAAAAAAAATATTTTCGATTATCGGCCCATTACTATAACTACCCTACGGGAAATTAAAAACAAAGTTGAATTTGTCAGTGATAAATTAAACTTTAACTGTAGGCTTGAAAACAAACTGTTTGATTTCATTATCGATATTATCGAAGTGTATACTCTTCTTTTATCTATGTCTATGGCGCTCTCGGTATATCAACGTCGCCGATGGCACATCTAATATCTATATCGAATAACGTTCTATGCTTTTCTAATCGGCAAAGGGCGCATGCGCAATGCTGTCACAATTGTCCTAGGTCGTGGTCGTGTCAAGTTTCACATATTAACTAAATTGTAAGTTCTACATTATTTGGAAAGTAATGCCTAAGCACGAAGACTTTTCATGGTAGATATTTTTTATTAAATCTATTAAAAGTTGTATTTTGTTTTATGAATGGTCTGTTGAAGTATTTACTTAAATTTTGTTTATCTGAACCTACAAAAACCATGACATAACGCTTGTTTACAAATGCACAAGAAATAGGTTATAAATTTTAATTAACGAACACAAATTATTCAATGTTAATGTGATGCGAATTTATTTATTTTAACATTCGTATAACTCAACGAGTGCATGTTTTATTAAAATCAAAGAAATATGTACGTAAATCGCTTAATAAAAGTTTATTTTAACACACAATAAATAAGACAAATTTTAAACTTTATAGTTTTGTTCAAATTATATTAAATAGTAGTTAATTTTCTAATTAATTTCGTGCAAAACACCGCTAATAAGCGTCCTGATCATAAAATAAACGTTTAACTGCATAGATCAAACATTTACTGTCTCTATCGCACTTGCAAGTTATCTTGAATTAAGACTCACAACATTTTAGGCCAGAACCGAATTTACGACGTATATATATATATATATATATATATATATATATATATATATATTACTAAACTTTTCAAAAGTTTAATTTTTTATTTGTAAATATCATCTTCATTTCGGGAATATAAGATGTTGATTTTTCTAACAGGACCTTTAATACATTAATTACATATCACAAACAATATCACAAATTGCCTTCAATAAAGCACAAGTAATTTTTTTTAATGTAGCACTGAAGATGAATCAAACCAAGACTCGAAACGTATACTATTCTAATAAAGATCTTTTTCTTTATTAAATTCTTTTCATTATTGGATGGATGCCCATAAACACTTCATCGTATATATATATATATATATATATATATATATATATATGTATATATATACGTATATATATATATATATATGATTTAGATTTTTTTTGTTCGGCGTTGAGACATATTTTTGAGTGTTAATTTGCAGTCAATCGTCGAAATAAAAGAAACAATAAATGATAAACTAGTTTTATTCATACGTTTCGACACGGTTGTGTGTCATCATTCCGCCATTTTTTTTTTTGAAATTTTTACAGTATCTAAAAGATTTTTTTTTTATTAATCTTTTTTAAACTTTGTAAAAATTCTTATATATATCCCATACTATTTTTATTGATGTTACGTCCGAATTTTAAACTCAAATTAAACATATATATATATATATATATATATATATATATATATATAATGTTAATAAAACAAAAAACTTCTTAGCGGCCATCTATCTAGATATGAAAAGAAAGCTAAGATATGTTTTTTTTAAATAAATTTAATAAATCCATACGTTTCGAGTCCCAATTTAACTTTCTTCAGTGGAAACAAAACACGAATGTAATTCATTCTTCGAGATATGATGTTCGAATTTATTATTTTTAGTTTATTTCTTTTTTGTAGTATAATTCATATTCATTCATTTTTTCACTAGCATGTTTTGTTTTGCGAAGTAATAATTTCTGTTACATGGTTTTGTTTTGTTCTAATGTAGTAATTATTTGCGTGTTTTGTTTCCACTGAAGAAGAGTCAAATTGGGACTCGAAACGTACGGATTTATTAAATTTTTTTTAAGAAACATATCCCAATTTTCTTGCTATTTATTATCTGGATGAATGTCTGCTAAAAAGTTCTTTGTTTAAAACGAAACATAAATTATGTTTCTAAAAATTATTTTTATTCGATTTTCATACATTTCAAGTCCGAAGTCAGTTATATATGTGTTCGTTTTTAATTTAATTTGTGTAGTAAATTTTCTGTGTTTTATTTTATTAACTTCCCGTAGGGTAAGTTATTGAAATGGTTCGAAAATCGGAATTGAAAATTTTTACATTTCTCGACGTTTTGAAGGTTTCTGAACGTTTTGGCATACCTCAGAAAAAATGGATGTGTGTGTGTGTGTGTGTGTGTGTGTGTGTGTATGTATGTGTGGATACAAATTTCCAGTCACGTTTTAGGGCGCACAGATCAACCGATTTAAATGGTTGAAAAAACATTCAATTCCTATTGATAGGGAAAAGAGCTGATTAGTTTTTGGCAAAGGCAGGTTCAGCCGTTTTGGAGATACGGAGCAAAGTGTGCAGAAAATAGAAATCGAATTTGTGAGCGAACGGAGTATCCGATTTGAATGATCTAAAAAACATTCAATTAGTAATGATTGGGAGAAGTGTTTATTAGTTTTTTGGGAAAGGCAGGCCCAGCCATTTCAAAGATACGGAGCTAAATATGTAAAAAATGGCAGTTTTTGAGAGAACTAAGCGTTCGATTTAAATGATTCAAAGAACTTTTTGCTTGTCTTAACAAAATAATTGATTTTGAAAAAAAAAATTTTGTTCCAATTTTTTTTTTTTTTTTTTTAGTATTTTGTATATCGAAAATATTTCAGATTTTATTTTTAATTCTGACTATAGTTCTAATATACTTTACAAATAATTACAACTCTGCAATTCGGTTTATATAATTCTTAAAAATATTACACAATGTTACAATATTTATAATAATCTATTTGGAAACATTCAGTATTCCTCGAACATTTCGTTACGGTGAGGGAAGTTCCAGCAATTTGCCTTAAGGCACAATGCCATAATTGCCTCAAGACAGAATTCCACTTACAGCTAGTTTTATTTTAACTTTACGTATAAAATGATTGTTTTTGTGTAATTTTTCAACATTAGTTTCACCTGTCTTTATTATATTTTTGTTGATTACACAAATCCACAAAAAAGTCATTTGCATTGGGTATGTGACATGTTTTCCAAGGTAGTTTTTTTACCGCCGAACGAATCCAAATTCAATTTTTTTTTTGTTTTTTTTTATTTTTTTTATTTTTTTTTATTTTTTCATTTTATTTTTTTTTTATTTTATTTTTTTTTAATTGAGAGCAACAGCTCAAGTTATTTAAGGAGAAAAGTGTTAGGAAACGACAAAAACTACAAGATTTTAATTATCGTACAGAAAATTTACTAGGTCGGAGATTTTGTCGGTTTTTTCATTTTGGCTTCAAAATTCTTGTTCAGTGGTAAAAAATGGGAAAACATATGTCGCCCACTTAGTACAGGCGACTTTTGTACTTGGACCTATGTTATTTTTTGAAGAAAAATAATATTTATTATATTATTTATAGCCTTAGCCACTGACAATTTCGGGCACACGGTTCAATTAATTTGAATGATTTAAGAAACATTCGATTCCTATTGATAAGAAAACGTGCTGATTAGTTTTTGGACAAGGTAGATCATGGCGTTGCAAAGATATGGGTAACTCAGTTTTTGAGAAAACGGAGCGTACCATTTTAATAACTCAAAAAACATTTTACTGATATTGACAAAAGGAAGAATTGATTAAATTTTTGGGGAGGGAGGTCTAGCTGTATTGGGGATCGAGTAAAAAAAAAGTAAAAGAAAATGCCATTTGAAGGTCAAAAAGGATCATCAGACATATGCACATTGAATTATCAGATATTTTATAGAGATTTTTATAATAAGTATAAATTTTATTTACATTTCTATGTGTTCCGTAACATTGTTTGTCCGTCAGACTGCAACGCGACGCTTACGCGCTTGGATATTTAGTCTTTATATGGAGCTAAAACAGCGCGATTGCTTTGAAAATTTTTTTTAATCTTTTTCAAAACTAGCTGTAAGTGGAATTCTGTCTTAAGGCAATTAAGGCATCGTGCCTTAAGGCAAATTGCTGGAACTTCCCGTACCAAAAATTATTTTTTTTTAAAAAACGATTAACATTTTTGAAAAAATTTTACTTCGAAAAAATAGGATTTTTGAGAAACTATAAATTGGGCAAAAAATTACTTTTTTTTGAAAAAAAAAAAGTTTTTTAATTTTTTTTTTGAGAAAAAAATGTTTTCTTTATTTTGACATATTTCGGAAGCTCTAAACTTTTTTTCCAAGCAATCGTACTGCTTTAACTGCATAAAGACGAAATATCAAAGCGCGTAAGCGCCGCGTCGCCGTCTAACGCGTAAACATTGGTAAGGAACCCATAGGACTGTAAACCAAATTCATACTTATTGTTAAAATCTCTATAAAATATCTGATAATTTGATGTGCATATGTTTAATGATCAATTTTGACCGCCAAATGGCATTTTTTTTTACTCTTTTCATGAGATCTCTGAAACCGCTGGACCTGCCTTCATGAAAATTTGATCAATTCTTCATCTTGTCAATACAAGTAAAATGTTTTTTGAATTATTCAAATCGGACGCTCCGTTCTCTTAAAAACTTAATTACCGTTTTCGGCACTTTTTGCCCCGTATCTTTGGAACGGCTAGACCTACCTTCGCCAAAAACTAATCAGCACGTCTCCTTATCAATACGAATCGAACGTTTTTTGAATTATTCAAATTGGTTGATTCGTGTTCCCGAAATCGTCGACGAAAATTTGTATCCGCACATACATACACACACGTACATACATACATACACACACACACACACACACACATACATCCATTTTTTCTAAGGTATGCCAAAATATTCAGAATCCTTTGAAACGTAAAGATATATAAAAATTTTCATTTTCGATTTTTTTGCGATTACTATAACTTGCCCTACGGGAAGTTAAATATAAATTTTGGTATATATATATATATATATATATATATGCTTTAAGAAATAATATAAATAAGAAATAGGAATAAGTAAGAAAATTTGAAGTAATTGAATAATTGTTACGATCGTTCAATGTTTAAGCGTTGAATAATTATAAACAATTTCATAAATTGCCATGTTGAGATTAAATGTTATCGTTTTTGAGAAATGTTAATTAATTTCTGTCATCTGCTGGTAGGTTGATGCAGCCCTGGCATGCATTACAAAACCATAAACACATAACATGCAATAAGCCAGAACGCTTAACGCTCGCATTTTACTACTAGTTCCGACTAATCGTCGCACCGTACTTGGTCGACGATCCGATCGACAGCTGCTTTACTGGTTTGTTGGTGTTCTGGTGTGCTGGTTTATTCAATCAAAATGGAATCACCGGTTGAAGTTGAATATAAAAGTCTTGGTGAGTGTCATCTATGAATGTAAAATGATATATTAATTGTCGTTTGCATACACATATCAACCATTTATTATCATATTATCTTAATATTTATCTTGATGAATTTCGTATGGATTATCATATTTTTTTATACAATAAAAGACTGAAGTTTTGTCTGTTCTTTGAACATTATATTCATTATGTTCACTATTGATTATAACATTAGTCGGAGTCGTCTCATTTACAAATATTAGCGTAATCGTAATTTGAAATCACTACATAACGAACGCTAGGTTTCTAATCTTTCCATTTTATAAAGCAATGCACAAATATTTCATTCGAATTATTAGAACTCAAATATATACTTATTCTGTTTACTATTTTGATTAACTTTTTTTACCCATGTTTATTTTATACTTTATATTTTTCTTATAAACACAGAGCAGGGTAAAAATTAATTTTCCTTAGTTTTATAATCATCTGAAATTCATTTCGTTTTTTTTCACTTACTTTTTTATACTTATTACGATGATGATTTACTTTTATACTTCCTTAAATAGATATAATAAGTTGGCAAAATATAAAGGAGGCGATAAAGATTAAGAATTGTACATACAGAAAAATACTGAATTATTATCGCGCATAACTTCGATTCAAGATGCACCGGCATTTATGATAAAATAATATTACTTGAGAGGACTGCGATCGAATCGACTCACATTTTGTGTGGAAGCGTCTTAACAGTGTGGTGAATGGTGTAATTTTATTGATTGAATGGGCTTTGTTACCAAATAAATGCAGGTGAATTGATGCACTCGTAAAGAACTGAAAGGAGTATCTAGTGTAAAAATTAAAAAAAAAAATCATATTATTATATGTTAACTATTCAAGAACTAGCGTACATATATTCAAGCATATATGCACGAGAGGATTTTTTAAAATTTGAAATATTTTCGGCGATACAGCTATTTGATCACGATAATCTTTTTGCGAAACTATAAACGAGTTTTTTTCTAAACTGTCTTTTTCAATACGATGTACACGATTTTTCGAGTTCTACTGAGCCGATTTACTTGAAATTTTCAGAGAATTTTTTTTTAGAGACTTCTCTCAAGTATATACTTCCTCTCGTGTCCTGCCTCATCCTCAAATTTCAATTTTTACTATTTCTAAAGAAATCAAGAAATTCAAAGTGGTAAGATTTTTTTTTAAAACATGCAACTTTTGGTCAAAAAATTTTGATACTATAAATTCTAGAATGCACTATAGCGACATTATTTTAGATTTTTATTTCGGATTACGGAGTCGCAATTGTGCACACGGGCACGTGTCAACTTATTGAGATACTTCAAACGCTGCTAAGTTTTATTTTTTTTTTTTTAATTTCCTTCTCTACTCTTATAACGTTGATAAATGAATTATGTATAAGAAAATAATAGTAAAAAAAATGATTGCCTTTTTGTATGATGGTTTAAAAGTTCTTCCGATAATATTTTGTGAACTGACTACGAATTTCAAATCTGAAATTCTGATTTCGCCTATGTTGTTGAAATGTTTTTTCATTTATGAATGTAAAATTTTGTTATCTCATGTAAAAGATTTGTATTATCATCGCACTCGATAAAATTTCATAATTGAAAGCGATAATTTTTCTTGTGTGTCACATTTTTCCTTGGCATGATCATCATCATAATTAATCAATAAGCTGTGTTGACCTGTTGAAACCCTATATAAATATATATCATTCCAGAGCCGATAGTTCGCGATTTGATAGAGAAAGCCGCATTGATTCGCTCCAAGGCTCACGTGCCTTATAGTAAGTTCGCCGTTGGCGCCGCTTTGGTGACGGATGACGGAAAATTCTTTTCCGGTTGCAATGTCGAAAACGCATCGATCGGATTAAGCGTATGCGCCGAGCGAACGGCCCTGACGAAGGCCGTCAGCGAGGGCGCGAAGACTTGCAAAATAATCGCCGTCGTCGCCGATTCAAAAGCCGGCTCGTACACTACCCCGTGCGGAGCATGCCGACAATTCATTAAAGAATTCGACCATAATAGTAGGACCGTGATCTATTGCGCCAGACCCGATGACACCACCAAAGTGTTCAAAGCGACCGCCGACCAACTTTTGCCTTATTGTTTTCTGTCGTATGACCTCACGAATTAGGCCTTGAACTTGAACTTCTTCTTTGCATAACTATGCTAAGGCATATGTCGTTTGTACCGCAACAGGACCAACTCTTGAAAAATAATAACAGTGCTAAAACATAAATAATCTAAAATATAAAATTCAGAACAATAATATATAATATAGTTTAAACCTTTTGCACATTGTCAATTAGAATAGTTTACAATTTTATTAGATATGACTTCTTTATGATATTCAATAAATGAAAGCGTGAAATTAATCTTGCAGCTTATTTATGTTTAAAATGTTTATACAATCAGACTTATTTATTACAAGTATGTACATTATCAACAAGTAACGTTTTAAAAAATGCGTTTATTTAAGTTTATTACTTACTTTTATTAAGCAAATGTTTTTGCATTGATTTTGTATTAATTTAACACAACTTACAAATATTCTGTACTTATAGTCCATAAATTTGTCATTTTAGTATCAAAATGTTTTTACACATGGTTTTACAAAGCTAGAAGCTTGCAAAATTTCATTTCATTTAATTTATATATCATACAAGGTACTTATTTCAAGGTAGATACAATCATAAAAAATCAATAAATAATATTTAAATGCTTGCTATAATTAAACTAATTTTGCTGAAGGCGAGTAAGCTTGATAAAGAAATATACAACTGTCAAAAATAAAGCGATAATAGAAAATAATTATTATAGATAAATATAATTATAATTATAATTCGAAAACTAAATCCATCTATGTTAGTATCAATCACATGTAAAAATATTAATTTCATTTTATGACTGAAGTACAAATATTTGTACTCATAAAGTTGAATTATTTTATAATATGACACAAAATATATACATACATAAATAATATATAAACTAATTATAAATTGACACAAATTAGTATTTTATACCATTTGCTAAATTAGGCAGTAAAATTTCATTAAAGTATTTAATATTCAAAACTGACTGAGTGTTTAATATTATACATTTCATATTAAATGAGGTTTCTGTAAATAAGGAATATAGTCAATTCATAAAAAAATATTTGTTCGAGTCTGCTTTCTTTTACATAAATGCTATTCTAGTTGAGCGCTGTATAAATTAGGATTTATTAACAATCAAGCATAGTTAGCAAATATTTGGGTGTAGATCAATTTCATTATATTTGCGCATATATAGTTTTAAGCGTAAAAGCGAATGTACTTCACCAGAATGGGCACCAACCTATGTAGCATTGACATAAGTTTTCATTATTTGTTGCCTGCTGTATGAGCAAGTCGACCTGTTTACTGACCGTCACGCTATCATCGTGGCTAAAATCGCGCCCTGTTAGCTTTTCCCTGACTCTAGTTATAATCGCCAGTGCTTTCTTATTTACTGCTTCAGGCTGTGAACTTTCGCTTGTGTGCTCATGCAGACTATTAGCAACAATGCTTTTCTTGTTTAAGTTCATACTTAAAACATCTCCTTCGTTATGATCATAAACAGTCGATATCCATCCATTCTCATTATTCTTCGACCTTTTATTTTTCTGAGGCATTATGTCCATCAGTCGCCAGTTTAATAATGGATCATAGACAAAGGCTTCTAAAACGGCCATCAAGCTGTCCTTGTTTCTATGCAAAACGGACATTACAGATTCGCAAGTACGTCGATACGTCCCTTCAATTCCCGTTACTTCCATAGCGTTGATAAGCATGCGGGTTAATCTGAATGGTATTTTTTCAGGAAACTTTTCACGCGTCATTGCCACTTCAAAACAATCGCCAAAATCAATATGAAGTATTTTACCGCTTAGTCTATCCAGCATCAAATTCGAGGGATGCCGGTCGCCAAGTCCCAAAATATAACCCACCATAGACATGACAGCCAACGACCTGGTATAATTCGTTCGTCGGTCAAACCATACTTCGGAGCTAGGACTTTTTAGCCAAAGTAAACTGGCTAAATCGTCGCCTTGCGTGTGCTCTAAAGCATGCTCAAAAACTTCTACCTTTTGCATCAGCATCAAATGATCATAGTCGGGCGCCATTCGTAGCATTATTCTATGTTCAATGTTCAATAAAATTTTTTTCTTTTCCCTGTAATCTCTTATCAAAGTATGTAAAGTATCACAATGTGGCACCCAGCCTATGAGCCCGGAATTCGTGCTTAGTGGTATAACGGCATACCGCTGAATTGTTAGATTCCTCCTATATGTATCTGGATCGTTTTGAAGCAAAGTGTTCACTAGTCCAAACAATTGCATAACTCTCTCATCTTGTCGCAGATCTTCATGGCCTTTCAGTAAAAACATATAGTCTTTACCATTTGAGCCGCGTATACACAGTTTCCGTGGACGCTGTTTTGATGTTATCACCTAGAGACAAAGATTAGAAATGATTATCATTAAAGTTATTGAACAGATTATAAAATTTGTTTTATCATTAATATTTTAATCATTTCATTTAATAAATTAAAAATACTTTTGTATAATTTTTATACAAAATAATTTTGTACTATGATACTTAAATAAGTAATCAGTTATAAAAGCCAGACTAGCAAGTGAAAACAAGCCACATGATGAACAATAAAATAAATGTTATAATTTTATACCTGTAAGTTACTTTGGATATATGCAATTCTAACTAGATCTTGTCCAGGCATATAACTGCCCGGAACTGCTAATTGCAAATCTCGGCATGCCAACAATTTTGGGCTGACATACTGCAACTCCAATGAAGTCAACTGTGGCAATTGTCGAGAAATTCTTCGAAAAACGTGGTAATATAAATCCCAAGCTTGATTTAAGTCACGGACATTTCCAGATACCTGAAAAATAAATTAAAATATTTTTGAAAATATATAAAGAAAGTTTTATTTTTCAACTAATAAATTGTTTGTTTACCTTATATCGTCGGCACCAATCTTGAGCTTGTGTCAAATCTCTACCATAGGCTTGGTGAAATGAAGTTTCTTTCAGTGTTTGAGGGCCTTTCTCTAAAATAGCATGCAATGGCTCCAATGTATCAAACATTCCTTTCACATTTCGCTCCCCAAAATATAATCTATATACAGAAATGATATTTATTATAAATTGCGTCATTCAGTAACAAAATAAAATTTGTTTGAAAAAATACATGCCTGCTGGCTTCTTCAAGACCCTCATGCCAAAGTTCATGCCATAAAATGGCAACCCTTATAAGCTCTTCACTCGCCATCATTGCTTGTTCCACCAAAGTTGAAGAATGTTCACACATAGATTTTAAAATTTTATTTGCTGCTGTTCTTCTTGCAACAGAAGCGGATTTGGAAGCCACTGTTAAAGGATAAACCAAAGCCTGCAATATATTGAAAAAAAGAAATAATTGGTATAAAATAAGTAATTAATAAACATTTGTCTGGTAAATTTGATCAAGTCATATAATAATTTCTTCTTAAAAAAGTACTTCTGAATGAATTTTTAAATGTTTTAAATTGTGGATTGAAGAAGAAGATGAAATCCGTGAAGATATAACATAATAATTACTTGTGGATGTGATTTTCCAATATCAATAAGTAAATGATGTATCAGTCTTCCAACAAGAGCACGTGGTGTGTCAATTCGGGCAATCAATTGTGGAATAACTTGTAACCAAATATTAATTGCAATCAAACGAATTCCTTCAACAACAGCTTCGTATACTTCTGGACATTGCCCATAGTCAAACCATAATGTGAGCAATCGTAAAGTATCTTGAAGAGAACTTCCATCACTTAGATTGATCGACCTAAAAAATAAAAAAGGAAAAATTGATTAAATTTGAAAATAGTTGTGTATACTTCATAAAAACATTTCATGTATCAAATTAAAATTCATACCTGAAAAACCCTTCCACAGCGGGTACAGTAAATTGTGATATAAATTGGGACATATTTTTGTCCGTTTTCTTTTCTCCAGTGCCATTATTGTCTTGTTCTGATTGGTGTTTATAAAACAAAACACTTTCAAAATTCATGTACGCCCATGCATGCCATGCTTTGTACCACGTCCTATCATGCCTTGTGGCAGCTTCATAACATTGAAGTACATTAGGAATAGAATATTCAGTTATACCCTGAAAATTTTATAATTTTATTTTACATTTTTTTATTATTATTATTTTTTTTTTTTAAATATTTCACCTGTAAAGATTCTTGCCATGATCCAAGTTTCAAATAACACCTGGCAAAAAGTCTTCTATCTTCCTTCTGCAAACACAATAAAATTTATAAATATAGCATATATATATATATATATATATATATATATATATATATATATATATATATACAAGTACTAAGATAACTACATAGTTACTTTTATATAAATTTAATAACATATCTCAAGCTCAAAAGTATTTTTAAGGTTATGAAAAGTACTACTATTCATAAATTGAATGGAGCTTGAGCTTCTTGAGCATACATTTCTCAAAAATATTGCCTGTTAATTTATTTACCATTGATTGTTCATCACAACTTGTTTGATGCGAGTGCTTTTGTACAAATCTATTCAATTGAACAAAGGCAGCTTCTCTTTGACCAGACATCCACATGTGTTTTGTGTATGCAAAAGTGACCTAAAATTTTAAAATGGTAATAGAACATCCATCTGTTCATATTGATATCTGTAATACTCTGTATTGATAGCAACTATAATTCAAGGCTGATTCAAATTGACTGGATCAGTATATATCTTATTATTATAAATTGCATACTAAATCAGTACAAAATTCATAATTTATTGATTGAGTGTAATATCTAATCTTACTTGTGGTAAATCAATAGGTAGGGGTTTATCGGGTGTTAAAGAAGGATCACAGCCAAGAAGCATCACTAAAGTTTTATGAGACAACATCTGAAACAAGAAGTAATAACATTTTAGTTTCAACATTATCCTTTTAAGTAATGGAAAAAAATATTTACCATTGAGCCACTTTTTCTGCACAATGAAGCATACTTTAACCATGTTCTTGTATCATCTTGAGGACTTACTACTAAAGAATGCACCTAAGAAACACATGAAAATTCATATATTATAGTTTTAGTTAATACTCTCTCAGGTTATATATTTCTTAGTATTATACCTGTATAATACGCTGCCAGTCTTCAACTAATTTTTGACCACCTTTCAACCTGCGCCACCACATTTCCAAAATTATATCTCTTCTCTCTGGAAACTTTTTATATTGTATAACCTGCACAAGAACAAGTAATTATACTTAATATGTCAATATGTTAATAATTTTATATAATGAATTCATTATATAAAAAATGCATGATAGATGATTCCAGTTTTGAGACAAATTAAATATATATTTTTGCATTGGTTAGGTGTTTCAAACTTATTTACTATAAAAGTAAATATATTACAAACCTCTTCCAATTCTGCTAACATTTGTACGCACACCATTGCTCCATAAGCCCTTTGATAGCTCTCACCAGCCATTGCCGTTAATTCAGTGTCTAATAAATCTCGAGTTATATCAATAAGCTGCTGAGCTTCTGCATAATTACCATGATGCACTGCTAAAACTGCTCTATAAAAAGCTCCATCCTACAAAATCATTTTATTAGCTAATGAAAAAAATACTTAAAACATTATTTTATAAAATTAGCAATGTTCATCCCCAGAATCTTTTTATTTGACTCATATATCATTACTTCTCATTGAAGAATTTTAGTAAATTTCATTTTACAACCACCATGGTACATATTTTTCATAATAGAAGTCATAAAAAATTGATAATAATATTGAATATTTTATTATTACCTGAGTATCTTCTGGTATGCACTTGACATAGTTAGCCATCCCTTCCCAGTCTTGTAGACCCCAAGCTGAAGCAGCAGCCAATCGACCTGCTCTACTTCGACCATCATTGCCCATTTTATCCCATTGATTTTTAACCATTCCCCCTAATTCATCCCATTCCCCAAGAGCTTCTAGACATCTCATCTGTCCAAGAATAGATTCGCCATCATCTGGGACTTCATTCAATTTTTCCTTATAAAGGGATAAGGCTTTCTCCCAGCTGTGCAATTTTTCATACCATCTTACTTGAACCTGCATGAAAGAAATGGTATTGTATTAGAAATTATATTTCTAAATTTTATGTAAAATAATAAGTTGAAACCGACTATCATATTTATCCTGCCACTTATAGTTAAGATAATATTTATTGAAGTATAATATATGACAAATATAAAGTTTAAGAATGGAATAAATGAGAAATAAGAACTTACTTGAAGTTGTGTATCACCAGATGCTCTGTGCTGCATAACATATTCCAAGAGGCCCTGAGCAGCTTCTTTTTGTTGAAGTTTGTTATTAATAAGAATTAATGTCTCAAACACCTGAGAACTTGCACCTCGATGAAACTCTTCTTCTTTGTAATGCAATGCTTTTGCATACCTATAACAGTGATATGAATCTCATATGTATATATAATTCTACTTTATTTTCAGATCGTAAAAATAAATCCAAATAAACTTTTGTGAAATATTTTACTTACGCCCGGCACTGCATGGCGCGTTCCCCAAGCAACTGTCGATTTAAAGGCAAAGGTCCTTTATCACAATGCTCCATAAATTCTGCCAGATTTAGAATTGTTTGGGTGATTTCCGGCAAATCAGGTACAGTAAGTGCTTGTTCCAAGTTTTCAACTAACTCATCCTTAAAGAATTTTATTTATCAAACTAAATAAATATGTTAGTTAAGGTTTAGACTATATAAATGAAAATAGTTACCTGCATTGTTTTCGATAGTTCTGTCCAACATGATACAAAAGCTGCATTGAATAAATCTCGCAATAGTTGTGGATAGTTTTGTGCTAGAGCTTTACATGACCTATGGACATTTAAATAAATATAAATATATTTTTATTTACATTTATGCTATTGTATCATAATACTAATTTATCATTTATAAATAGAATGAAAATGAAGAACTTCATGATGATAAGTACTTAGATCAATGATCAAAAATTGGAGTAGAAATGAGTATAAAACAAATAAAGAATTTATGATAAAATTATAGGCATTAAAAATACTCAATATAAATACATTAAAATATCATTAAGATAGTGTGTTTTGATTTACAAAAGGGATTTGCAAATTTTACCTCAAAGCTGGACTTTGTGACTCCTTCAATAAACCAATACTTAGCCGCCTCAACCATTCTAGCCAATCATCCTTAGATACTCGGCGCACAGCTGTCCAGGCTACTTTCAAATCTTCTGCTTTCACATTAAGTCTCTTGATTGTGCTTGTATCACTTGATGTCAAACTTATTTCTCTATTTCGATTTTTGGTCTTAGAATATTTCATTACTTGAAAATCGTCATCATTAACCATTGTCGAAAGTGATTGTAGTTTAATAATTAATACATCATATTTTTGGCATTGGATTTTATGTTTAGCAATTACTCTTTTAACTAAATTAATGAATATGTTATACTTGCGACCAAGTTGCATAACTAATGAACATAATGTTTCCATGGCTATTGGCCTCAACTCTGGTGTGGAATCAATGCATCGGACTAATGGGTGGATTATTCTTGATGCAAAGTCTGAAAAATCTAGTATATCAGCTAATTGGTCAATTGTTTCCAAAGCTGCTTTGTTTACAGCTAGAGAATATTCTGTGGAATCGAACAGTTTTACAATGGATGGTAAAACTAAATGCAAATAATCATCCAAATTATTGCCAAACTTTTGCAAAGCGAACAGAAGTTTTACAGTTACAATTCGGTCCTTGCTATTATCATGCGACAGCACTCTCAGTATCTGAGGCATTAATTGAGGTACATAAACTTTAAATTCTGACCCTAAGGCCACAGATATTCGTTCAACTAAATGAATTAAAGTAATTTGTAGTTGACTAGAAGGCGTCCAAAATTCTTTAATTAAAGCAAATATATCATCTAAATAGTTTCTAATATGCTGCTTAACAATGGCTATTAAAATAGCAAGTTGTTGAAACAGATATTCTAAAAAACTTATATCTGCTGTCCTTACTACATATAACAAACTGGGCATGACCTGAGAAATATATGGCACACATTTGATTCCTAATGTTTGAAATATAAATGTTACAGCCTGTACTACGCTAGTATGATGCTGTGACAATGTGGGATCTCGAATTATTCTCATTAAAGTTACTATTGCAATGGCTGTATAATATTCTTCTAAAGAGGAAGAAGAGCTCATATTAACTAACATTTCACTTGTAGATAAATCAGAATCTTCACATTTTCCATCAGCTAATGATAGTAAGGCAGAATCAATTTGAACATCTATTAATCCACGGTTCTTTTTATGCTTGTACGGGTCCAAGGCCCCTAGAAGTCCCAGAACTCTTATTGTCTCATGCCTTATTTCAACATTCTGTTCAGTTTTTAAGAAATTAATTAAAATATCCATAAGATTGGGGTATTTGGTGTATGGCTCTACTACATGTCCAGTGGCACGAACTAGTTTTCCTAAAGTCCATAATGCAACTCTACGCTTTTCCGATGAACTTGCATCACCCAACATTTCCAAAAGTATTGAAAGCAATTCATTCATCCATTTTTCCAGTTCTTCAGCACAATCATTAACTTCTGCCAGGTAGCCTATGGCTCTCAAAACACTTAGCACAACACTTGAATTTGATTCAGATTCTTGCAGTTTTGGAACAAGGACTTTTAATATTGGCTCCATATAAGGATGTATTAATTTTGGTGCCTTCAAAATGAGATGGCTCAGCATCCTAGCACTTTGTTCTTTATTTCTGCTCATACCAGAATAATCAAGCTCAGTCAAAAATTGAATCAGTGTTTTTCTCAAGCTTGGCATTACATAAGCTGGATTCATTGTACTTAATCTACCTATAATGCATATAGCGTATTCACGAATTTCAAAAACCTCATCATTTAGTGATACAAAAAGAGCACTCAATGATTCGGCTTGTGCCAAATGGTAATCAAATGTTTCATCTAATGACGCTAGCACTTGCAGCCGAACATCTGGATCTGTATCAGTCATACCAACAGTTAGCAGTTTATTCAAGACATCAGAAACAGTGGAAACTATTGTATCAGATTGATTGGTTTTGCTTGTATCCATTGCAAGCTTTAATAGGCAACAACAAGTTCTTACAGCTTCCAACCTGCAAAAACAATAATAAAAACTATAATATACTAATCAATATAATCTATAAATTTTGTGCACACACATATGATATATAAATATATATGAATAATGTTAAATTTCAATTTACCGTATTTCTTGTTGATCATTAATTAAAAAATGATCCGCACACCTTGTGACGAATTGTAAAAGACTGTGTCCATCAAAATTGAAGCTTCCCAAAGTATTCAAGGCAAGAACAATTATTGATATATCATGATTATCATTATAGTTGGAATTCATAGATTGACCCAGTAAATGTTTAGGAGTGCCTAAATGCAGTAATGGTTTATTCATTAAAATATGAGAAAGCATTCTCAATAGGCCTTCTGAAATATCTTTCTTAACACGCGGGACATTTTGTGCCAATTCTCGTAAACAAGTTGTCAGAGAATTACTTAAACCTGTTGCAAACATATAATCTAATATATCTTTTATATCGCGAGTTATAAGGTCTTTAACAGCATGTGAGAGAAGTGTGATACATATAAATATTGATGGGTCAATTGTTATACGTCTCTTAAGTGACCCATCTTTAGATGGTAAAGCTGCTTTAATTGCATCCATTATCTTTGGAACTGACTTATTAATATCTTGTTCAACGGCGATAGCAATGAATCCTAGAGCAACAAAAGCTAAATTCCTTTCTTTCTCTTTACCTTTAACTATCATCAGCAAATAGGCCACTGTAGAATTAAGGTTATCTTTAACAAATTTATCTTTTTTAAAAGCTGCTAATCGAGGCAATATAGAAAATAAGCTGTTTAATAGAAGAAGAGGTCTTGGAATACGTTGAAGCATTACGTTAAAACAAATCTGATCATATTTTTCTGTTATCAGTTGCCTACAAACAGCAGATTCATAAACAGTGACATTAACTGTATTTAGTCCGTGCTGTGCAGTCAAAGGAAGAGCTGGTTTTGCAGAAAATAAATATCTATCATCATCAATTTGATTTTGTGAATCAGGGTCAACCTTTTGTTTCAAAGCATTGTATTTTCTCTCCCATGTAGCATTGCCACATCTTAACAACTCATTTAAGATAATTAATCCTCCATGGATGCGATCCTCTCTAGTAGATCCTTTTTCCCTTATGTAAGTTTCATCAAAGCATTTCATTGCTTCATCAAAACACATATTATACCTACAAAATATAAAAAAAAAATTATTAACAATATACAGCTAATTTCACGAATAGGTTTTAGTAATTACATTATTATATTATGAAAATTTATTTTCAAATGGACTTACCACATTGGTTTGGTGCTACATTTTGCACTTTCACGTTGTGCGGTGACAACTAATCCAGCCTTAAGAGCCTGACCAGCTGCTTCTCTGATCATAGGTTTACTATCTCGAATAGCATTGAATATATGTTCAAAAAAACCAGAAACTTGCTGGTAGAAATAAGTTGGCATAGAAAGGGCCAATTCTCTAAGAACCAATACTGCAGCATGCCTTTTACCCTAATTCAAAATTGAAAGTTTTTATTTATAGATTTAATATTGTAATTTTATACTTAAGCATAATCAAAATTGGCACATTGGTCATTGAATAAATTGCCCTCATACAATTTTCAGAGAATACATTTTAACAAAATTACATGAATGAATCCTAAAAAAAAGTACCTCATTTCTTTCAGAAGCAGATAGCCATTCAAAAGCTCGTTTTAAATCGAATTCAACAGATTCTGCACCCTTAGAACAAGGAAGTAAAGCAAGACGCACAAGAGTCTGTGCTGCACGTTCCATAACAGATACATCAGAAGAAGGCAATAAATTACGCAAGTAATTGCAGTATCTAGATATTCTTGTTGTGGTGTTAACTATATCTCCGGTTATTAGACATTCTAAAAATCATAAAATAATTTGTTATGCAATGTACTTTATCCTTTAATTCTGTTTATTAATATAGTAAGGTATTAAAAGTAGTTAACAATTAAAATAAAATAACAAAAATATAAAATGATATGCAAAACTATTAGAAAACCTATATAATTTGGCTACAATATTGTTTAAAGTATGTCATAGTGAGGCAATCCAATTAGTAGGAGCCACAGCAAATAGTATTAGAAAATATCATGTTTCAAAAAATGTATATGATTTGAGATTGAGAAGAATCTTTCGGTGGGCCATATGTAGTATTTAAAATATTAACAAGTTATAAGTTTATAACTGTCCCTTACCTATTGCTTCAACACCACCCTTTTTTTCATTAACATCATTTCCAGAAACCATTTCAAATATATGATGATTAAAATCATCCAAAAACGATGTACATTCATCTTGGGGTAGTTCTCTCAGTTCTGTTTTTACATACAAGCATAAATCCCTCGCTGTTTTGCGCCGTACCTCGGAATGTCTCGACTTTAACCCAGCAACAAATTGTTGAACTAAGTTTGACATTTTTATTTAAATAAGCTATCCTTCATCCACAAAATTTGTATGCATATTTTTTTAAAATTATATCATGATATATTATCTTCAAGGATCATTTTCAATATATATTAAGATAAACATTGTAATAGGTTAGGTAGTCAAGATAACGTTCAATTTTATTCTGTGCATTCTTTCCATTGTTTATTTACATAATGCTCACTTCCAACATTTTCACTTATAATTTTAACTATTCACATCATTAAAAGAGATATAAAATTAATTTAAAATAAGTACATGTAATAGAAAAACGCATAAGTTGGTTAGTTGATTAGCCCTGCAATTAGGCATGAGCAAAATACTCGAAATCAATGTGAGGATAATAATACTGACACAAGCAATATTTTGATTGACGTTATTTAATCATTTGCAAAAATACTTATTTATTATTCTAAAATAGTTTTCATATTTCAATTTTAATATCTTTATTTTGTAATTTGACATTGTCAACCATTGTTGTTTTTGTGGTTATCGTTTATTAATATCGATTGTGGATTATGCTTCGTGCATTATGAAGAGCTTTTAATTTTAGATATTTAATTTAAATTCAGATTATTATGTGCTAAACCCTCATAGTCTTCAGTCATGATAATTATTTTTTAGGAACAAAATGAACATTTGCAAAAATATTAGTAAAAACCAAGAACATAAGTTGAAGGAGTTCAAGTTCAACAACATCGATAATTCTCGTAAATATCGAAATGTATGCAAATGAATGAGATCCAAATCCAAATTATTTATATATCTATGCGCATAACCATAGACAATATAATAATAACCTCTCAAAACATGCTTTTTTCCTGTACAATAGTTAATATAGCATTTAAGAAATAATTAATATTTATGTTCCTAAAATCTTTAAAGTTTTAAGGTGAATAAAAATATCAAAATATTGTTTGTATCATACATTATGCTAATTATTTTATAAAAAGCTAATTTTTAAGTTAAATTTTTCTTGTAACCAAATATTAAAATAAAATTTAATGTATAATTTTATAAAATGTTTATATTAATAATTAGAAAGTAGTATTTTTCAATTAATTCAAAATAATAATCAATGTACTATAAACTAATTAATTTTTTTCATGTGTCAGTATGGATGAGAATTTTGATTATGACTCTGGCGAAGAAATAGCCGAAGACCATGTACGACTTGTAGATGCTGTTTCCCGACTTGATAAAACTCAACATATACATAAGCCAAGCAGGAGTGAACCGACATTACAAAGTTCAGAGTTTCATTTAGTTAAATCGGAGAATGCGGGAGGTAGTGCTGCTTCATATACAGATCTTGTAAAGGTGAGCTATCATGATACTACTTGTTTGTTTATAATAAATAGCTATGTTATAAATAATATAGCTATACGTATTCAAACTATTTTTGTAATATTATCTTCATTTCTTATCTTATAATATACTTCTTGCAGGTACTGGGTAAAACTGCTAAAAATGCTGAAATCGGCAGAAATTTAAGAACAACTCAAAAGAAAACTAAAACTTTACCAAAACCATTAGAAAAGCCTCAGGCTGAACGGATTCAGCGTACTGTGGGTTTTGAGAATGTTAAAAAAGAGTTGGGAAAGTGGGATGCTGTTGTTACAGCAAATCGTGTAGCCCCTCATAGAAGTTTTCCACTCATTCAAGCCGATATATCAATGAAGCCATCATCTGCATTTTTATCAAAATTTCGTATAAAAACTGAACTAGAAAAAGAGTTAGAAGCCCTTAATCCACCAACTGAAGCAGATGAAGATAATAATCACGAATTTCCATTAACTTTAGAAGAAATAATAGAGCGTAGAAAAGAAGCAGCAAAATTAAGGGCCCAACAGTCTTATAGAGAGGCAAAAGCCAGAAGACAGAATAAAATCAAGAGTAAAAAGTTTCATAGGTATTTGTGATTTTTCAAATATTAAAATTTTATGTGAATTTATAATAGAAAGTAGTTTTTTTGTTATGAAATAAGAACACACAAACAAACGTGATCTTATCTAATTGCTAATATATACATGCTTTCAATAATTATTATAGAATTGAAAGAAGAAACAAGATGAAGAAGAAATTGAAAGATTTAGAAATATTGCAAAAAACTGATCCAGAAGCCGCATTAAAAGAACTTGAAGAATTAGAAAAAATAAGAGCTGGCGAAAGAGCATCTCTTAGACATCATAGTACTGGAAAGTGGGCTCAGAATTTGCAGGTATTGCACAAAGGAAAATTATGTTACTGCAGTATATTCAGTAGTTTTCATTTTGTCTATCGTATCATGCAAGCAAGTTTAAATTGATGCATCTATGTTTTTAAGCTACATATTTTGATTACTGTAGTCAGATATATTTGATTATTTCCTTATAATTTAGATTCGTGCAAAACATGATACTGAGAGTAGAGCTGAACTTGCTCAACAATTGAGCATTCATAGAGATTTGACACAAAAAATGAAGGCATTAGACAGTAGTGATTCTGAAGGAGGGGAAGAGGAAGTTGAGGAAATGCCAAAACATCGAGATATGCAAAATCCTTGGACACAAGAAAAAAATGAGGTAATTTTCTTTTGATATATTTAACATATTTATCACATTGCTTATAATAAAATAAGCACAAATATTTATTATTTATCTTAATAAATTTTCAGATTGATGATTTTATTAGTGGTTATAGAAAGTTTTGGAGTAATGAACAGAAAAAGTCTGAGGAAAGCATAAATAAAGTAGATTTACCACATGGACAAAGTAGTGACCAAATTACTATGCCTAATCGGAACAACGTGCCTAAAGAGAGTGACACATCACTTTCAAAATCTACAAAGGCATTGAATGCCGAAAAAGCAACACCTAAGAACATGAAAAGAGGCAGTATGAAGACTACTCCTTCTAAAAGTATGAATGATACCATAGAGATGGACTTAAACATTTCAAAAAGCAGTAAAAAAAGAAAATCAGTTTGTACGAGTTCATGGATTGTAACGGATATAAATAAAAAGTTGGTAAATGGTACTGAACAAGATTCTATAGATACATTATTTGATAATATGGAAGATGATATACAATCTGAAATAGTTAAAAAACTTAATAACTTGAGAAATAAATTTGATAAACAACATATTAATAATACAACAAAACATGATTCTGATTCAGATCAAGAATATGTACCAGATTTGAGTTTTAAAGTTAACAAGAAGAGACCAGTTATAGATATGGAACTAGATGAAACGACTGGAACCAATCACTCAGCAGGTACCATTGATTTTAATCATTTGAAGAAACAATCTGATTCTGTGAACACGAACAAAGTGTCTACCATTGATGCTGAAAGTATAGATCCTAACAAATTCATAAACTTAAAACTTAAAAGATTGTTAAATCAAGCACCTGATATGGAAATATCTGATGAAATGCTTGATGATGATCAAGAAAAAGAAAATCGTCAAGCTATTGTTGCAGAGGCATTCGAAGAAGATGATATAGTTTCAGATTTTCAAAAGGAAAAGCAAGATGCTATTGATAAAGAAAAACCTCAAGACATTGATCTTACTCTACCAGGTTGGGGTACTTGGGGTGGAAAGGACATTAAAAACACAAGAAAGCGCAAACGTTTTACTGTGAAATGCCCTAAAAAGATTCCTAGAAAGGATGAAAATAGAGCCGATTTAATCATTAATGAAAACATTAATACCAAATTGAAAACACATATGGTATCTGATTTGCCATTCCCTTTCACAAGTGTCTCTGATTTTGAAGCCTCTATAAGGGCACCTGTTATAAACACTTTCATCCCAGTTAATGCTAGCAAAAAATTAACTAAACCAGCAGTAACTACAAAATTAGGTGCAATTATTGATCCTATGGATGAAAATACATTAGTTCAAAAGAAGAAAAGTAGAAGATAGAAATTAAATATTGTTAGATCTAATCTAATATTTCAAATATATTGTTGACATTATCACCCATTGTTGTGTTTTTATTTAGTAAAAAATGAGATAAACATGTATAATATTATTATAAGATTGATTAAATAATAAATCGGCATTATTCAATAAGATATATGTTACATATATACATTATACATATAATATGTATAATACATGAGCATCAGGATAAAGATAACAAAATGGTATTCTGTCTTAGAATATTTAAATAATCTTTTTATGTATTGTTAAAGTTTAACTACTCACTCAAGAATATGTGAACGAGACGATTTTTCAAAATTTAAATTATTTTCGGGGATATAGCAGTTTGATCTCGATTATCCTCCTCTGCGAACTTTTATTTTATTGTTTACGGTTTGTTTCAACAATCTGATTACATTTCAATCTATATGTTGAGAGTAGTGGGTATTGAAAATCAAAACAAAAGAAAAACAAGTATTAAATAAATGAATGAATGATAATTAAATAATAATAGTGATAATAGTAGTAACAATAATGAATGATAATTATAAGTAACTTGTGTGTAACATTTCTCTGTGCATAACAAAAAAAAATTAATCTTGTGGGCTGCGGTACATCACTTGGCCATTTTCTCTTTAAGTTGCCTAATTTTTGGGTTGACTGGACTAATTGTATTTCAGAACACGTTTTTCTCGAAACTATCTTTCACAATACGGTGCGATTTTTCCACTTCTACTAGTATGATTTACCTGATTTTTTTAAATTTTATAGACTTCTCTTTACTTGAGCGTAGTTCATGCTCATTTCAAAATACTGATTTTTACTATGATGTTTACATTATTCTAGATTAATAATACATATTTTTTTTCTTCAGATTATTTGATGGACCAAACCAGAATAATGGTTATAATGGGACCCCCCACATCATGACTTATTTATATTTTTTATTTCTTTTCTGTGTTTTTAATTAATAACTTATAAAAAATGAATAGTAAAAATCCTTTCAAAAATCGTAAAAAAATTAATGGCTTTAGAACAGAATACACCCTCAAGACTAGTGGTTAACTTGAATGTTTGTGTTTTCCAACGTCTCCTTTTCTTAATTTACAATTTTGCGCAAATTTCGTAATGTTGGCGATGCTGTGCGCTGTTCGTACCAATATCAACAAGCAACTTCACGTCGTATCGCTTCCCCGCAAGCGAGTCGCTGTCATTCGCTTAGTGAACTGTTCCCACATTTGGTGTAATTGTTTTCAATTGTAAAAGTGATCTAAAGTATTATGACATAATAAGAGACGATAACCAGTTGTATTCAAATATGTGCTAATGTTATATAAAATAATGGAGTTGATATTGACATTATCATGGATGACTTAACCAATCATCCTACGGTACGTGTTAAACGTAAAAATTTGCGTGCTTTTTATGATAATGCAGAGAAAATTAGTGTCTTTTTCGCGGTACACTTGAAAGAAATTCCGATTCAGGATGATTCCTGCAATGTTTTGTTTCTAGTGACATGCGATGGAATAGATGGAATAGACACTTGGGAAGTGACGAGACGAGTACAGGTAAACAAATTGCTCTTATCAAACGTTCTAACATTAATTCGGCATGTTTGTATTACATTTTGCTTTTATTAATTATTATTTTAGCATGATTTCGTCATAATCATCATTAGAATCTCTTAGTTGTCATTTTGGTTTTACAACTGGCTTTTTATTCGAAGCATACGAAATATAAAATGAGCTTTATTAACGAACATATTTCACGAAATAAACGCGGTGAATTTGGATTTATGTCAGATCATAGCTATAAACATTTACCAAGAACATCGAATTATTTTGATATATATATATATATATATATATATATATATATATATTATAGTTTTTTTATTACTTTTTGGATTCATTGTTCGAAGCTCTACAAAATATTTACAAATCCAAGACTCTACCATCTAATATATGGTATATATATATATATATATATATATATATATATATATATATATATGAGATTCAGTCTTCAGGGCAATACATCAATTAAAAACTTGTATGACTTTTAAGCATTTTTATTTTTTCCATACGTTTCGACACATAGTTTTGTGTCATCTTCAGTGGACTCTATTTTGAAGGTACAGATAAAATTATTAATTAAAACTAATATATAAGATATAGTTTTAATTAATAATTTTATCTGTACCTTCAAAATAGAGTCCACTGAAGATGACACAAAACTATGTGTCGAAACGTATGGAAAAAATAAAAATATTTTAAAGTCATACAAATTTTTTAATTGATGTATTGCCCTGAAAACTGAATATCACATATTTCAACATCAAAATTATATAAAAAATTTAATATATATATATATATATATATATATATATATATATATATTATTACAAATTTGTGGATACACCCAGTGGCATATTTACTAGAAATATATATTTTTGGTATAAAATGTCCAATTTTTGTTTCAGTTTCACTATTTACTTGATTAAATATTTATCTTTGTTTACTAATTTTAGTAAGCAAAAACGTTAATTTTTTGCAGAATAAAAGGTGTATTTTCTAAAATAGAATATTTTTACAAATTTATAGATTTATTTATAACAAAACATTGCTATAAATCGAATAATAATGGTAAATATAATGTATTCATTAATATTCTTAATATACAACTCAAAAACACGGTGAATATTTACTCTTAATATACAATATTTGTTTCTAATTTATTTCTGATATTTAAACTTTTCTATTTGAAAACATTTTTTAAATATTAAGTCAATTTTGAACGTACGTTACTAGCTCGTTTTTCCTAACTAACAAGAAAGGAAGAATTATTAAAAAAAATAGTATCACGCAAATAACGTTTATGCAAGGGGCAAGTTGTTTACATCAGGTTTAGTAGCTCAATTGCAATTACAATCAGGTGATAAAGAAAAGAATATATTTTTTAATGATTTTTAATGTTGGTATGTAATCGGCACATCAATAAATTGAGGCATTTTAACTGGATTGTATTTTAAAAACCTGCAAAATACATTTTTTTATGTTTCTGCATGGTTATTTGAATTCAAATAAGAAAATTTTAAACGCTTATAATATCATTATTTGATATATTTTCTTTTATGGAAATTGTTAGGAATAAATGCATTCATATGTACTATTTTTCATTTTACTGAATAATTATATATAAATAGTTGCATAATGGACTTTTAATCGCAAAGACTTTAAAAAAAACTTTTTGCAATTTTAATTAATCAAACACAAAACTTTGTTATTATTATTTATTATATTTTATCTCATTAAACTTAAAACAAGGGCTTCCACTGTGAGTATGCACTAAGTTTTGGTTTTTCATGTAGGAGATTTCTTGTTCTATACCCACCTCAGCCACCTTGATATATAATAGTAGTGATACCGGTTTTCTCTTGAAAATATAAATCTAATTATGTATCTAAGTGAAAATAGCCCTCCCTCAGCTTGGAAACTTGCATCTAATTAAAAATCATCAGTGTTAGAGAAATTCTAATAAGAAAATGTATCAAATAGATATAGACCAAACGTTGGGTTGCCTTTTATAAAAACTACGTTGTGACTATATTATAAACAAATACAAAACTATTATTATAACTATATTAATTGCATGATATTGATAATAATGGAAAATTCTAACATATAAAACAACTTCTAACATATAATAAAAAACTCATAGGGTGCTTCGAAACACGATTGGTTCAAATTTTGTTGCTTTAGCATTTCTGATGGTTAAAGACTTTGCTCACATAGTTCCATTTTATATATAGACTAGTTTTCTTACATTAAGCATTTTATATATCATAATGTAAACAAAATTTGTACTTATTATTGAAATCTCTATAAAATATTTTATAATTTGATATACATTTATCTAATGATTATTTTTGATCGCCAAATGGCTTTTTTTGGAACTTTTTTTATTGGATCTCCGAAACCGCTGGACCTACCTTTACAAAAAAGTTACCATTTGTTCCTTTTTTCAATACAAGTAATTTTTTTTTGTATTATTCAAATTGGACGCTTCGTTCTCCCAAAAACCGAATTGCCATTTTTTACTTTTTGCTCCGTATCTTTGGAACTGCTGGACCTGCCTTTGCCAAAACTAATAAGCGTTTTCTTTTCAATAGCAATTGAATCATTCAATTTGGTTGATCCTTGCTCTCGAAATCGTGGACGAAAAATTGTAATATACGCACACATACACATATACATATACATATACACATACACACACATTTATCGATTTTTTAAAATGTTGGCCAAAATGTTTAGAAAGTCCTGAAACGTAAAGATATAGGCATAAAAAAGATAATTTTCGACTTTTTTTTGCGATCACAATAACTTACCCTACGGGCAGTTAAAAATGAAATTTATAGTAATTCAATATTTTCTATATTGTTTATATTATTTTTCTAACAGCATACTTATGGTATTGTTTTAGTGTTACAAAAACTGTTTAATCACTGTTTTCGCAGATCTAGATTTTATTACTAGTTCATGTGACAATTACTGTATGATTATAACTAGTTTCAGCGATAATTATTTCATGAGTTATTTTAATTCTTGGTTGATAAAATGTTAATGATAAAAACTTTCATTGTGTGCATTTTAGCAGTCTATTTACACATTTGTTTTACAAAGCCGAACATAGTGTTGTTGAAAATATTGCTATGTAGTCATTGTCTGCAAAACCCGGATCATAACTTGACCCCGACATAGATGTATGTACCTCGCTCTCATCAAACGATATGCTAATTCCTACGATGGTCACATTAGAAAATATACGGTATAATAGATGATCGATAAACCCTTAAATATACTCTAAAAACTCTATATTTAATTACTTGATTATACATGTATTATCTTAAGTTGTTGTTTTTCGATTTGGATACCCCTGGTATTTATTCATATGAAAAACATTGAATTTTTTGGTAACACTGATTTATAAGTGATCGTATGCCGAAGCTATAGTGTTTTGAAGATATTTATGTAGATAATGGATTTATATTAAACATTACACGTATTTGGTGTGCATTTATGATAATTGGTACTTTCATAGCGTATGATAAATAAATTATTAAATTACATAATAATTATTATATTTTAAATGTTGTACTGTGGTAATTTTTTGTTTTGATTGTTCGAGTTAAAACAAGCATTATCTTGACCGCGGCAGTATTCCAACTAATCCAGCGACACATTTTAATTGATATACCCGGATCAATATTGCGGACGACGGTATCGCTTTTTGCGTTGCTTATTTTAGGTGAAAGGATGAATGAGCAACTACGATTTATTGATGGATCTCTAAAAGGTGTATTAGTTTTGCAAGGTAATCCTCTTTGACACCTTAGGCTATGCAAATTTACAACTTTAAACTAAATACATATATATATATATATATATATATATATATATATATATGTTATGCATTAACAAAATATTTGTAAATAGGACAATTTACGCTGTTTGTTTTCTATATCTTTTTCCTACGATTTTACTCGTATTGCTTAAAAAAAATCGATACAAAAATGTTAATTTGGGTTTATTTTAGACTGTAACACTGTGGCCACGTGAAATCAAAAAACGTATCAAATGATGCATTTTAGTTTATATTTACACAAATTTATTTAACGAGAATTAGCAACTAGAGATTATATATATATATATATATATATATATATATATATATATAAAGCGAGAGGTTTTTTCAGATGGTGAAATATTATGATAAAGTTGTTCTTGGGCATCCATCCAATAACTAAAACGATTTTATTGTAGAAAAATGTTTTTATTGTAATATCATACGTTTTGGGTCTTGATTTGACCCATCTTCAGTGCATACAAATAAATTAAAGAAAAAAAACACAAAAATATATGAACACCAATTAATATAACGTCAAGTTATACGACAATTTTTAATAAATATTAAACAAAATAAAAATAAAATGATATTTTTTTTAAAAAAAGGCTCTTCTCATAAAGACTGTTATTCGTTTGGAATTTGTTTTACAAGTCAAACAAACAAACTTGTAAAACAAACTCCAAATGAATAACATGTCTTTATGAGAGAGAAGAGTCTTTTTTTTAAAAAAAATTTTTATTGTTATTTTGTTCAATATTTATTAAAAATTGTCATATAGCTTGATGTTATATCAATTGGTGTTCATATTTTTTTTTTAATTTATTTGTCTGCACTGAAGGTGAGTCAAATCAAGACCCGAAACGTATGATATTACAATAAAAATATTTTTCTACCATAAAATTGTTTTAATTGTTGGATGGATACTCAAGAACAAACTTTATCATATATATAATATATATATTATATTATATATATATATATATATATATAAAATACACCAGGAATACAAGAAAAAAATTGACGTGTTTTTTTACGTTTGATTACAAAAATTTGAATGTTGTTTACTATTCCTAAAAAGCGGTACAAACGGCGACAACTGTTTAAAGTAAAACGCTTTTAAACTTGCCTAATCTGTATATTAACATTATAAAAGTAAATC